TCTGCACTGGAGACAAAACCATGGAACATTGCAGAACTCCACAGACTAACAATGGCACCACTTGAACACATGGGAAACCCTATAGAAGGCCCTCTCGTCTCCAAGGGCCTCTCGGTGCCTGCTCGAGGAGGCGTTCGTGTGTGGGGACGGAGCCAGTGGACCACAGCTGTGTCCGCTCTGTCCTCTGTCCCATGATTCACTGCTGCAGTCAGGCGCTCACTCCCGGGCCGGCTCTGTGGGGCGGGCGCGGCGGCGGTGGCGCTGGTGATGACTCTTTGTTAGGGCTTACGTAAAGGCTGGTGGACTCGAGGCGGGCGCGGCTTGGCTTTGTTCATACAGTATGTAGTATATTTATGCAGATTTTTTTTTTTTCTGGGATGGTATTGCACACAGTTGGTAAAATGCATCACAATATTCTTTTTTGCCTGTGTTTTATGTGCCATATAAAACCACATGTTTCCACTATCACTGTACTTAGCCACCTTGTCCCATACTCTCAGGCTGCTAACACGTACAGATGTATACAAACAAATATACTTCAATCTGAAGAGACCAAAGACACAATTAATACATTAAAATGATTTATTTCTTTGGCGCATTGACCCCGGCAGTGACACTTGCAACGATGAGATCGATTGCAGCTGAAGATGATCTCAGGTCCCCCGGGGTCAAGCACTGGTGGTGACTAGAGTATGGTGTGAGTGGGGCGTAGGCGGAGCAGGAGCCAGAGCAGGAGCCTAGAGCGGGAGCCGGAGGAGGTGCTGGGTAGGTGGTGGGTGTTTAGAGCTCCAGGAAGCGCTGCCTGTCAGGAAGTGGCTGCCTTTTTAAACTGCCCGCTTTGCTGACTGAGGGTTGGCAGGAGGCTGGCCGGGCTGTGTGATTGGCAGAGGCTCGAGGCTGGCAGAGCTGTGTGATTGGTTGGCTTGGAAGGGAGAATTTGCACTCGGTCTTTCAGCTTCATATTTCTTGCACTAGAATGCAAAGTGTTTTTTATACTAGCTTCTTTATTATGCTAAAGTTACGGATTTTATAACTAGTACTTGCTTCTTCAATATGCTACAGATTTTGGATTTGCTTCCTATTGTGCTAGAGGTAGCGATTTTATACTTGCTTCTTTATTATGCTTAAGTTAGAGATTTTTTTTTTCTAAGACTGGCGCCTCAGCTTCAAGTACAAAACTGTGAATGTAAATGATTAAAATGTACAATGGATAAGGAAATAGAGGATGAGGACCAGATTAAAGTCCAGCTCGGGTATTGTCCTGACCAAAAAAAGCATCAGTATGGGTCAAATGCAGACGACAAATCTCCCACAAGGACAAAAACACAAATGAAAGTAAAATAGCTCTGTCCATGATGTCATACTCGGAAGATTCTACTCCCCGTCATAGAATACAGAGCAGCAGCGAGTTCCTGATATTAGTGAGGATGGAGCTTAAAAACAAATCCAAGTCCTTTTTTTGGTGAAACTAAGCAAAACACAATTTTAAATCCATCAAACTGGAAAATATCTAAATAAAGCTGTGTCCCTTTTTTCTTCCAGTTTAGAAAAACATTGTGGAATGAACCTGGATCAGTTTGAACTACAACGTGTTCCTCTGAAGCCGTTTCCTTTATGATATTCAAAAACCAATCCAGTCTATTTGAGCCACTCCCCCTGACTTCAGCTACACCAGAGTTCATGTTTATAATAGAACACGTAGGCCACTGTGGAGGCAGAGACTGTTCCCACTTATAATGAGAGAAAAGACGTCAACATAGACAAAAACTACAGGGCCTCAGCTTCATACAGAGTCCAGCCATGTGTTTGTACTTCTGGATTATTGTAAACTTTACTTCACTATTAGTTGTACGCCGGACTCTGAGGAGCACAGGGACTGGCCTCCTGCTGGTGCCCAGAGTCAGGACTAAACATGGGGACTCAGCATTTCAGATTTATGCAGCTAAAATCTGAAACAGTCTACATGAAAATGTGAGACGGGCTTCTACTCTGACATTGTTCAAAACCAGGTTAAAAACAATTCTCTTTAGTCGTGCGTACAACTGAGGGATCATATCTTCACTCTGTTTAATGTAATGTGAGTATTTATCGTTCTAATGCCTTGTATGATGCTTTTTTGTTAAAGGATGATTTTCTACTTTCCGGGTGGATCATCAGGACTATTGGTCCTCCCAATTGTCAATCATTCTGGTGAGAAGTGCTCGTCATATAAGACCAGAGAGGTTTGTTCCAAAAGTGGAGAGGGTGGTTCCTTCCTAAAATTTAGAACAACTGTCCTATATACTGCGAAAGTATTCGGCCCCCTTGAACCTTTCAACATTTTGCCACATTTCAGGCTTCAAACATAAAGATATAAAACTAATTTTTTTTGTCAAGAATCAACATCAAGTGGAACACAATCGTGAAGTGGAACGAAATGTATTGGATAGTTTAAACATTTTTAAATAAAAAAAAAACCTGAAAAATGGGGCGAGCAATATTATTCGGCCCCCTTGCGCTAATACTTTGTAGCGCCACCTTTTGCTGCAATTACAGCTGCAAGTCGCTTGGGGTATGTCTCTATCAGTTTTGCACATCGAGAGACTGGAATTCTTTCCCATTCTTCCTTGCAAAACAGCTCGAGCTCAGTGAGGTTGGATGGAGAGCATTTGTGAACAGCAGTCTTCAGCTCTTTCCACAGATTCTCGATTGGATTCAGGTCTGGACGTATCCAGGTGTTAGAATGGCCAAGTCAAAGTCCAGACCTGAATCCAATCGAGAATCTATGGACAGAGCTCACGATTGTGTCCCGCTTGTTGTTGATTCATGACAAAAAATTAAAATCTTATATCTTTATATTTGAAGCCTGAAATGTGGCGAAATGTTGAATACTTTCGCAAGGCACTGTAAGTAGTAAGTAAGTAAGTAAGTTTTTATTTATATACCGCCTTTTCACTGCAGATCTGAGTCTCAAAGCGGTTTACAATTGTTAATTTTGGGCATTTGTCTCTCACTCCACACAGAGATGGGAGCGGGGCCAGTACAGGAGGCGCATGCCAGACCTATTGGACATATTTTTAGTGGTAGGGGAAACCGGAGTACCCGGAGGAAACCTACGCAGACACGGGGAGAACATGCAAACTCCACTCAGAAAGGCCCTGGTCCGACCGGGATTCGAACCCAGGACCTTCTTGCTGAGAGGCGAGAGTGCTATCCACTCAGCCACCGTGCCGCCCCTGTATCTTAGACCTAATTGAGTTCCATTGTGTATGAACTGCCTTGCCTTGGAAAAGAGGACTAGTGTCAAACTATACTCAGCATTTACAAGAGGCACAATCTCACAAAATAAAGTTCTCAACACAAAAGGCTGATGCCAAATACAGTCTAATAATAAGAACCATGAGACCGCCTTTAACCGCACACGTTGCAGATCCGTGAAGCAGGACTCTTCCTGCAGGATAGAGGGCTCATGGGGGGTCAGCGTGACACATGCTCATGGCCCGGAGACGCCAGGGCCACGGCAGCTCCATAAGAGAGCGTCTGAGCGCACACAGGGCACGTCCACGTCAAAATGTATGTGTTTGATTCAAAGGGACAAGCAGCACGAAGAGGGAATGTTCAAGAACACATGCACGTCGTTCAGAAGACTCACACCTCCAACGGATTGGACGAGGAGAGAGGTCTGGTTTTCAATTGTGCTTTTTAAATGTACTCGCTGTTTCATGGGAGTATTCAGACGGCTTTGTCTCAAGGTATAGATTGAAAGATTGATGGATACTTTATAGATCCCTGAAGGAGAAATGGTGGTGTCTGGCAGCAGAAACACATGCATCCATACAAACGAATAAATACATACTTCTAAAAGTTACTAACAATAGTAATAAAATGCAACAGCACTTCAGGTCACAGCAGCAGAGGTGGAGAAGCCGCTGGTGATGATCCGCTTCCTATCCTCTGGCAGAGTCTGATTGGTTCAGACTCTCTGCTCTGGTTCTGTGTTAAATTCTGAATGCTTTATTAGTATTTTTCCTCCTGTGGATTTACGCTTAATCTGCTTGGTTTGGACCGTGCATCTTCTCTGCTCTGGTCTGGATCGGTGTAAAACTTTGAACATTGTACTGCAGTGAAATGTACGGCTACACAATACAATACAATACAATACAATTTATTCTTGGACAGCCCTAAATCACAACAGAAGTCATCTCAGAGGACTTAACAAAACCATTGAAATCACCAACACAGATCAGAGAATCAACAGTTAAGCACATAAAGAATATAAAACAAAATGAAAAATGCCCATACATTTTAAAGATATATAGTATAAGAGGTATAGTTGGACACTAACTGCGAGAAACCTCGGGAAGACCCATAGTTTGAGAAAGGGATCCGCTCCCACGGACAGACAGACTATAGATCCAGGACCTAAGCTGAACGTGGACAGGTCCGGTACAGGACTGAAGAACTCCTAGGCGGGTCGGGCAGGGTTTTAGATGGAGGAGGCCAGGTCCAGGGGTCTTGTCATTGTACCATGATACAGACAATGGGACAACGGGTGAATAGCAATGAACAAACTACAGTCAAAATCCTAATAATGCTAAACAGATAAAGTAGGCTAGAAAAAAACAAGAATAATTACAATTGTAAAGCAAAAAACCATAACTTTTTCAGAGATAAAGGTAAATTTATGAGATGCTTTTGAAAGTGTGACAAGGTTCCATCTTCTCAAGCAAGATCTTAAACTGGTTGGACCTGTTAGAAAATAACATAGAATAGAGTCCTGTTTATTGTACTTCCTTGATTTTATGCATTGGGAAAAAACTCAATGACGTTCACTGTGATGTTGAATAAAGACAGATGTTAATAACACTAAAATGCATCATACTTATATAGCACATTTATCCCTCAAAGACGATTTACAAAGGGACAGGTTGAGAAGTTAAAATAAACAGCTAAAATAAAGAGTTAAGTGTAGTGCAGTTTTGAACAGCTGGGGTGAGTTCCAGAGAGTGGAGGCATCTGCAATGAAGGCTCAGTCCCCCAAGATTCATAAGGCTCAGTTATCCAAGGCTTTATCTCAAAAGGTTCAGAAGGCTCAGTCCCAAAAGTTTCAGAAGGCTCAGTCCCAAAAGATTCAGAAGGCTCAGTTCTCCAAGATTCAGAAGGATCAGTTCTCCAGGGTTCAGAAGGATCAGTTCTCCAAGGTTCAGAAGGATCAGTTCTCCAGCGTTCAGAAGGATCAGTTCTCCAGGGTTCAGAAGGATCAGTTCTCCAAGGTTCAGAAGGATAAGTTCTCCAGCGTTCAGAAGGATCAGTTCTCCAGGGTTCAGAAGGATCAGTTCTCCAAGGTTCAGAAGGATCAGTTCTCCAAGGTTCAGAAGGATCAGTTCTCCAAGGTTCAAAAGGCTCCGTCCTCCAAGATTCAGAAGGCTTGATCTCAAAAGGTTCAGAAGGCCCCCAAGATTCGGCACTACTCGGCGGCGGGAAGGACAATGCTGATGGAGGAGGTCAGTGAGATATGAAGGGGCCAAGCCATGACGGAACTTGTAGGTGATAAGAAGGACCTTATACTGTATGTGAAATGAAACCGAGGACTTCTTTCAAAAGTTACTCATATTTTTGATTAACCTGTCAATTCTGTCATATATTGCACCTATAGTAGATGAACGCACATATTGTCTCGTCTTCCCCACTCTTCCTCCTTCCACCGCTCTTCTCTTCCACACAATGACATAATATGAGGCAAACTCTCCCCAGCTCCAGCGCATTGATTTTCTATACAAATATGACATCATAACGGGCGCGCCACTGTCCGGGAGCCTGAGGGGAGGACATCGGGCTGAGGCTGGCTCCATATGCGATCAATGACCAACATGCATACATTCACACACGCATACATGTGGACAGGACGGTCCCGTGCAATGTGGGGTGCGCACTGGTGGTCACGCGCGCTCGATATCGGCTTCTAAAAGCTCTGTCTGTGCCGTCCGGAGCAGAGGTCAGTGTCTTATTGCAGGGAGAGGGTTTGGGACGTGGTAATGAGGCCAAGTGGGGATTGCAACAGTTTCTGCGATCAATGTCTGAGCAGCGGTGCACGAAAAATGCGGAAAAGAGAACGTGTGACATGTGTGTGCGCGTGCGTGTGTGTGTGTGTGTGTGTGTGTGTGTGTGTGTGTGTGTGTGTGTGTGTGTGTGTGTGTGTGAGATCTGGGACAGCTTTTTGCACAGATAAGTTGTTGACTCTCTGATCTGTTGTCGGTGAACGGACAACTGTGTCGAGTCCGCTGAGACGACTGCTGTTATTATTTTGGGTTGAACAAAAATGAATTGAGTTCAAATGTAAATAGAGATTAGGGTCCCCACCTACAGCTGCATGAATAATCACTGTTGATTTTTCATGGTGGCAATTAGCGAATCGCAAAAAACTGAATAAAAAGACACCAATGTGCTAAAAATGATTACATTAAATGGACAGTATGTAATATGGACTAATAGGAGTTTAATACATTACTCACAATTACAGTCACACTCTCTGCCTGTGGAACATGCTGCTCCTGAGGGGTCTGCTTCAAATCCTGGTATACAAACTCTCATCGTTACTCTTATTTGTGAACCTACTTTTGATTAAACAAATGTGTGGTGCTATCTTTTGTTCGCGATTTTTTTTAGAAACAAAAAAAATCCCTTTCAAACGCTGGCAGCCCAAATGAGGGACTCATTCTGCCCTCTGATTGGATGATCTGCTTGAAAATCGTAAACAATCTCGTCCATTGTATAAGAATAAGATTTGTTCAGAAAAGGTTAAGTTTACATGAGACCTGCTTCAGGGACTGACTCCTCACATCTCTGTCTTCAAGGGTAGTATTCAGTCACTCCATACAAAGTGGTTATAAACTACAATGTGTTGCCACAGCTGCCCCGGGCACTCACAGAAGCAAGGCAACTATACCTGCCATGGGCTCCTCAGACCAGCACCAACCATTCATGCACACACCAGACTCACTCTAGGCAATGTGGGCGAAAAGTCTTTAGTCACCAGAGATCTCTCACCCTAACCCTAACTACCCACACACCACCCTGCTTAGCTTCTGAGATTTGATAGGATCAAACTTTTGCATGCAGATGGCACCACAAATAAAGTCAAGTAGTACTGTGTCTTTATTTGAGAATAATTCTGTGTTGACGTAAAGCAGATTTGTTCATGGAGATTAGAACAAACAAGAAATTGCAGCTGTGTGTTTTGAGTCCACTAAAACAACGATTCGGATAGTTCTGATTGTTCAAACCCTCGTGCAGCTCCAGTCTGCGCACACTTCCCCAAACGCCGGGTCCCAGGCGCTCGGTGAGGTGATAGCAGCACTCTGGATTAACATTTACACACATTTAAATAACGGGCTGAAATAGACAGCTCCCAGATTCCTCTAAGCCCAGCGACCTGGCGTTCTGTCTTTAAGCTCATTTCGGAGGGGATCGGAGGCTATTTTTGGAGCGGGAGCTGAGGAGGCATTGTGTCAGTCAGGAGCGCGGGCTTTTTCACCAGCTGAGCCGAGAGGTGCTTAAAACGTTACATCGGAGTCTGCTGTAATTGCACTGTCAACATGAGGGTGAGTCAGGGGAGAGTGATGAAGAAGCAGTTTGGACTTAGGGAACTTTTAACTGCTGCAGGTGACCTCCTGGTAGAAGTTAGATCCGTGGAGAACCTGATCCACTTCGACTGGGAATAGAGCTGTGTAAGGAATCTCCATGCAAAGTTTGGACAGACAATATCTAAGAAAGAAGAAGTAATCGTTAGTGGAAGCCAGGCCACTGCATAGAAAGTGCCCTGGATTGATAGGCTCTAGGCAAATCTGCTACTTTGCTCATTAGTCTGAAAGATTTTATCCTTTAAAGCACAAAAACTGACCTATATTTCAGCACTTTCGCACTTGATTTATCTCCACATTGACTTATCCCACACACCTTCACCACTGCATTCACCACAGACTCAAAGTCACATTCATTTTGGTTAATTAAGTGCTGTTTCCTATTTACTTTGCTCCTCACTCTTGAGCCAGAGTAGTGACAACAGAAAGAAGTTATTAGGAGAATATTACAGATCCAACATACATCCAGTAAGTGATCTCCTTGACCTTTTTGACTTGAACAAAAGGAAGAGGAAGAAGAGAAGAGGGTTCATAAAAGTAAGTCTGAGCCGAGGAGTCATTCAGTAGGAGGAGGAAGGAAGAGCAGAGCAAGAGGCACGACAGAGCGAGTGACCCCAGGTGGAAAAAGATCCCAGAGACTCCACCATGACAAGTACAGTAATCTTTATTTATATACCGCCTTTCACAGACCAGTCACAAAGCAGTTTAACATTGTTATTTTTTGGGCATTTGTCCTCTCACTCCACACAGAGATGGGAGCGGGGTCGCCGAACAGGAGGCGCATGCCAGATCTATTGTACATATTTTTAGTGGTAGGGGAAACCAGAGTACCCGGAGGAAACCTACGCAGACACAGGGAGAACATGCAAACTCCACTCAAGTGCTGGTAGGATCCGGCTTGCAGTTCATCGAGAAAAGCCATTGCGTCGTTAAGAATTTATTTTAATACATTTATGTTTCATTTGGTTGGAACAGTGCACCCAGAGAAAACCTATGACACAGGGAGAACATGCAAACTCCACACAGAAAGGCCTGGAGGTGGAATTTAACCTAGGACTTTCTTCCTGTGCCGCATATTACCTACGTTCCAAGTTCAAATGTGTCTGTTGGTAGTACATCTATTTATGAATGACACCTTTTAGTCACATGTTCTACAAACTTCAACAAGGGAAGTGGTTGTAAAGGTGACTGCCATGTTATGTTTTCATGGAGGTCAATCAGAAGTGTCAACCCAGTTGTTCGATCAAACCAAGCAGGAGACGACACGCATTTCCTCAAGTTCCGTTTAATTTTGTCAACCCCTTTATTAGTCAGTTTCTGGGTCAGGGGGGTGGCAATGAGAGCTGCCACCCAATGCTCATAGCACCAGTCCCTCGCTGATACGGTGGTCCGGCAGGTGATGAGTCCACATGAAGATGGCTGCTACATCGGTGGTGCCACAGCCTTGGTTTTTCAGCGGGACCTTCAGGCAATGTGGGGTTAAGTGTCTTGCTCGAGGACACAACAACAACAACAACGACATTAGCGAGAGCAGTTGGAGTAGGTCCCATGATGGAGTCGAACCCACAACCTTCCGGCCCAAAGACCAATGCTCTACCAACTAAGCTACTGTTGCCGCTCAGTCTTAACCTGGATTGGAGAAATGGGTGGAGTGTGATGTGTTTGTGTGTTTGGTTAGAATTGAAATCCTGCGGCCACACCAGTCCTTTCTTGAACCATTTTGACACCTCTTTTGTAAATAAAAGAAAAAGGATAATCCCTAAGTTAAACGAAATTGCAGAGGTCCAAACTCTCGTACTAGTGTTCACATTGAGATTGAACAAACAACATGTAGTATTCATGAGAAAATACTTGGATAGCTCTGCTTTAAGTGACAACAAACAAAGCCTCGCTCCATGTCCGCAGCTCTGCTTTGACTTGATCCGTCTTGGCACCAGTCTCAGAGCAGACGAGTCAGAGCACCAGGCCTGCAGTCTCTTCTTCAGCCCCTCCCCACACTGCACTCCCGGGCTGCACAGCGGTCACCGAATGGACCGAGCCGGGGTCAGAGCCGGCGTATGCTCCAGCGCGATAATTCCAGCTCGGAACAGCCACGAGAGCGTGCGTCCGTGAGTCACACACGCCCAAAGACAAAAGTTAATTATGGACAAATGTCTGCGGGTGTGGTGTGGTGCTGTACAGTTCAAGGAAGGATTATGAAGGATGGTGACGGGAAATTATAGCTGCCGGGCATACAAGAGGACTGCCATAAAGCCAAAGTGGAAAATGTATGGATTATAAAAGTATTACATTATGCTTATGTAATAAATACTTAAAATGGCGCAGTCTGAGTAATAGAATGCAGGAGAAAACCTCTTCGATTGGAGAAATTCCCAACGTGTATGCGCGGTTTTGTGCAAGAATTTCCTGATATTAGCACGGATGTATATTTATCCTCTTAATACAATTGTCTTGGATGAGGTTCATTAAAATGTTCATGGGCTCTTCTTAAAGGCATATAGGAGGATTTTCTACTTCTGGGTGGATCATCAAGACTATTGGTCCTCCCAATTGTCAATCATTCTGGTGATATGTGCTCGTCTAATGACCGTCTAGGACCAGAGCGTTTCGTTCAAAAAGTGGAGAGGGCGGTTCTTTCCTAAAATTTGGGAAAATCCTCTTAAATACCTTTAAATGTGCTGGATATTGGCAGGAACTGGAACGGAAACGCTTCATACAGCAATCCAGAGCATCCAAAATGTGATCAATTGTCTGCAAATTGAAGAGAAGCGGGCCGACACTACACAGGACCACAATCACTGACAAAAATGTATACGGAGGGTTTTTGAAATTTTAGCAAAAATAGTCTGTGTCTAATGCATAGACTGTAAATATTAACGGATGTAGTCACTTCCATGGAGTGATTCCAAATGGCCGCGGGGGCTGGAAAATGTGAAAAAGCGCATCTGCGCATGTGTCAGCCGGCACGAGCCCCATTTATTTAAATTAGTGACTTAAAAAATTCTGTGCTTTTTTGACCATCCTGTAAAGACGTCTTTGAGAAGTCAGCTAATGCTATATGTTAGCATTGGCCATTTCTTATTCCGGGTCCACCCCCATCGGCCCGGGGTGGTATTGCAAGCATGTCAGCGCACGTCATTTTGGGCACTTTTGAGCCGGGACCCGCCCCCACTGGTCTAATGTGGGCCGGATCACCAGAACGTCTCAAGGCCAAGACAGGACCTCAGTTTGGACACCCCTTCTGTAAACAGGAAAGGGTGTGGTTTTTATGCCTCTCAGACAGTAAGTTGTAAGTCACTGCTGCTCTAAACAAGCAACGACATTGTATCCACACAAAATAACTTGGTAAATATACCAAAACATAACAAAAGTACAGTGGCAGATGTTTCTGATAATAGCCTGGATGGATTTGAAAAAATCTCCAGACATGTGACCAATGAGTGGCAATATGATTGTTAGATTTTTTTATTTTCATAATATTTAAATGCTTTTTAAAGATTATGGTTTTTCCTTTTTGGTGTGATTTTATGCCTCGTCACTCTCGTTACTCTCAAACAGTCACTCCTGCTCTAAACAAGCAATGATTGTATCCACACAAAATAACTTAACTGAACCCACGTGTATTTATTGGAACGAGGACATTGCGTTTCAATCATGCAGCAGATCAGGGAAAAAAAGTTTTAAAGGACAACAAACATGTGACCTCAAGTCTCGGCAACAGCAGGGCGTGTGCGGCTGCATTACTTCTGCAGGGTTTGTACATATACGTCTATATAATATTTGTCATTCATGAATCCACTTGGGCCGTACGTCCATGCCCGATCCCGCCTTGGGGGACTCAGCAGAGGGGCTTGCTGTGCCTCATGTTCTGGGCACAGGTGCGTCCTATGTTGGCCCCCTCCAGCAGCAGGTCAGAGAGGCGGTCCAGGCCCAGGCATGTGGTCAGGGGGCTGATGAGGCCGTAGAGCGCCCCCAGCAGGACGCTCAGGGGCCAGCCGATCACCAGCAGTATGACCAACCACACCAGGGTCCAGAGGCAGGAGCCCAGGGACGCCATGGAGGAGGCCGGGGGAGAGGAGTACTGTGGAGAGAGGGGGTGGGGCAGACGTTAGGGACATCCCAGTGTGTGCAGCAGCAAAAGTAACATCCATTCTTTACTTATTTACCCTTTATTGATGGTTTACTTGTAGCTCTGAAACAGCTGTTGTTTTGTTCTTTACAATTTTTATATTTCTTGCTTTTTTTCTACCTGAGATGTTGCTGCAGTACAGTGTTCATGGTTTTGCACTGGTCCAGACCATGAATCCTGCTTCGGAGAGGATTCATGGTCCGAACCAAGTGGATCAGGTGAAAATCCACTGGAGGAATGCTGACTCTTTGAAGAATGCTAAGGAAGCATTTAGCATTTTACTTTGGACCAGAGCAGAGAAAATGGTCCGAACCAAGCGGCTACTCCACCTTTTGACCTGTCCTGCTCCACCCAGAGGCTACTCCACCTTTTGACCTGTCCTGCTCCACCCAGAGGCTACTACACATCTGCTGCTGTGACTTTAAGGGCTGTTGCTAATTATTACTATTGTTTGCTTTTTAGAATGATACATTTTTATTTTGCTGCTGCTGGACACCTGAATTTCTCCTACGGGGGATCAATAAAGTATCTATCCATCTATTAAACCAGAAAAGGCCCATTGAGATAAGAACCTCAAGGGAGTTTCAAGGGAGTACTGGACATACATTGCTATGATTATTCACATTAGCAATTAAAGCTGGGGTACATAAATAAAAGAACACACATCTTGTTTGTCCCAACAGAAAGTCTTCTAAACGCAAAATATTGTGAACAAATCAGACCACAGCATGAGTCTTCCTTCACTAGACATATCTTATCTTTTGCATAGCCCTGTGAGTGAGAATGTGCCTCTTTGGGCTGAGAGGTGATTGGCTGAGAGAGGCTGGTCCTGTCTTCTTGACTTTTCTGTCTGACAAAGGTGATCTAAAGATGAGGCCAATAATACATGCAAATACATTCAGTTGTTTTGTGAACGAGGAACTAGTGAGATTTTAATACATCAGTTCAGTTTTTGTGGTTTGAAAGTTAGGTACCCCAGCTTTAAACGTCCACATTCAATCATTGGAAACACATTTGTTCAATCTATCATACATTTTGGCAGCGCAGTGACAGAAGTTTGTCATCCTGAGCTGCCATAGTGTCCGTGTGAGTGTGGAGGAGTTTCTCGTCCTCTGAGGTTAAAGCGATCCACAAAACAGTCAATGATCAGCCTTGTGATGTCACAGCAGCGCTCCGACTGCCAGAAAAGTCAGCAGATGCTGCTGTGTCGATGAAATACAGGGGGGCAGCGTTTCTCAGTGACGCACAAGTGACAACTTTCCCCACAGGTCGTGCCGGCGGTCGTGTCAGGTTGGAGTTTCAAAATGAACTTTAAGTGATTTTTACTCTTGGCTGCATCAGACACCATCTCTGAATCACACCCATAAGAAAGGAACATTTTATACAATTCATTCAATTCTGATATTAGCATTGATGGGTCTAAAAACAACTCCAGGTCGGTGACTGATGATCCAACAAAGTTATATTTAAAAGCCCAAAAAAGTTGATTTTAATAATATAAATTACGTAGTGAAGTTCTATGTGAAAACCGATCATTTGTTTGCATTCTATATTTTGTTGACGATTACAGTATTTTCTACGGTATTAAAGCCAGATCAAACTCTCAAGGTCTACTTTTGTTAATTCATATGTTTTGTGTCATTTTTATGCATCGTCACTCTCATTACTCTCAGACAGTGTCGTTGTGATCTGCTGTGACCAATAGCGTCAGACCAACTGCACAATTGGAGCTAGAAACCCAGATGACTCTCACGTGGAACTCATTCTGCAGGACCAGTTCATTAAAGCTGGTGTGACTTTCAAAAGCTTCATCAAAACAAAAAACAAATAAATGTTCATGTGAATGCTGTAGTTCTGGCTCCAGTACAGTTTGGTTTTATCACTCATTTTCAAAGGCATGTATTTTTGGCCTCTGTCACGTCTTTGGATCGGCTTTTTCAGACAGAAAAGTGAAAAAGATAGATCCACCCTCACTCAGCTCTCAGATAGTAACTCACAGGGCTAAAATATGCAAAAGATAAAAGATTTTTCTATCAGCATGCTGTGGTCTAGTTGTTCAGTATGATGAAAAACCAATTGTTTTAATTATGAAACAAAAAGCTAGGTACCCCAGCTTTAAAGGTAGGAGGCAGGTAGGTTCTCCACTCCTACCTGCCAGGTAGGAGTGGAGAACCGCCCTCTCCACTCTCCAAAAAGAAATCTCTCTGGTCTTGTTTGCCGAGCACGGATCACCAGAATGATTGACAATTAGGAGGACCAATAGTCTTGATGATCCACCCGGAAGTAGAAAATCCTCCTATATACCTTTAAGATAAGAGATACTTAATTTGTCCTGCAGTCGGGAAATTTCAATGTTGCAGCGCACATGCAGGACAGTGGCAAGAGCACACAGGGAGAACACAAAATATACAATATAAGTAGCTGCAATGCATCTAAGCTAGCTGTAAATGCTTCAGTATCAAACCAAAGCAACACTTTTTCATTAAGAAAACATTTGACTCTCCTTTGCAAAACTACAATCACACATTGAAACAAAAGCAGCTGAACAAACCCAAAATAAACCAGTTTCTCCTCTCTCCTGATGCACATGCAGTTAGTCCACGTGACGCTGGTTAAAAGCGGCCGCAGCTTTTGCAAAGTAGCTATTAACCTAATGAATACCTGTCTGGTGATTATAAAAGACATTTCACCTTCTGCGACGCGGTCTTCAAGTCTGCGCACTCACGACTGGCTCCTCCAACGGTCCCAGACGCTCACGGATTTCAGAGATGCCTGAGAGGAGGGAGGAGAGTACAAGAATGATCCACAATGTTTGAGTTTAAGGGAATAATTGTGTAGATTGTGCAGAGGAGAAGAGAGGGTCTGTAATGAGGAATGTCTGAGTGTGCACAGAGCTTACTCAAAGGCTCATGTGACTCCACACCACGTCTCTGTCATGGGGTTTTGGGCTGGTTTCCTGCTGAAGGAGAAGTGACAGTGACCAATGTGTTGAGGAAGTTACTCACAAGGAGTATTGGAGCGGTTATAATCGTAGATGAAGAGAGAAGGATCAGTGAGAGGAGTTTCCTGTCAGATGCAGAGAGGATAGATGTTGAAATATTCAGGCCTGTTGAATAGATGGAGAATAGTGTAGTCTTGGTACAATCCCTAACATGAGTATTAGTACTTTAGAAGAATTAACTTTTATATGAGCTCATGTCAAATAGAAAATTGTGATATATAATTTTATTGTCTAGCATTTTCCTAAAAAATGCAACAAAAGAAAAAAAACTGTTTTATGTTTTATACAGTAGAAAACATGACAAAATATGTAAAACTTACAAATGGTCATCTTCAATAATGGCCAGAGCCGGCTCTACCTGCTGAGAAGAAGCTGGACGATCATCAGGAAGTCCAGCTCTGTCCTGGGCTGGTCCCTGGACACGGTGCAGCAGGTGGGGACCGGAGGGCCCTGGACAAACTAACATCCATGTCTGCTATGAAGAGCAGTTTCAGTGACAGACGGATCCACCCTGGCTGTGAGAGGGAGAAGTTCTTGATATTATAGAACCGGTTTGGTTGAAATTATAATAATAATAATAATAATGCATCAGTTTTATAAAGCGCTTTTTTGGACACTCAAAGACGCTTCACATGTGTCATTATTCATTCACTCCATACACGGTGGTGATAAACTACTGCTGTAGCCACAGCTGCCCTGGGGCACACTGACAGAAGCGAGGCAACCAGTATGTGCCATCGGCCCCTCCGACCACCACCAACCATTCACACACACACCAGACTCATTCTAGGCAATGGGGGTGAAGTGTCTTGCCTAAGGACACAACAGCAGTTTGGCACTTTACAGCCGCAGCCGCCCCACTGTTTAATTGACAAATATTGTCATAAACGGCAAGAGTCTGTGGTCTCAAATTTGAGTAAAGACCCTTATATCAGCCTCAACAGAGACGTCTACAACTGGATAACTCAATGCCATATTAAAAACACTTGAAAACGATCCTGTCTCTATGGCTGCCGGAATCGTGTCCGGCAGGATCACCTTGGTCCTTGCACAGAGGACCAAGGTGATCCTGAAATAATACAGAAAAGGTCTAAAATACATACTTTAAACTACTGTACAGACGAGATGGCACAGGGGCAATGAAGCCAGCGAAAGAACCAGGACCAGAACAGTTAAGATCATTCAGCAGAGACAGCTTTAATTTCACAGATATATATATAAAAATACAGACAGTTGTACAAAAAAGTATTTTATTTCATTATTCAGTAAAAAATAAACAATCATTAACTAATTATCAAAGTCAATACAATGCTCAGAAAACCACTGCTTCTACATTTCCAGAGGCATATCCCACCAGGAGGAGACCCAAGACACGCTGGAGGGACTGTGTCTCTCAGCTGGCCTTGGGGTCCTCAAGACTCCCCTGAATGACGATTGAGTGGATGGGGCTGACACATCAACAGTAATGAACTTTGCAAAAGTTTTTTTCCTGTGTAAACGACAAACGCACTGTTGCCTGGTGACCGCACGGAGCAGTGATGGGCAGACGAACCCTTTCACATCTATGAAATTCAAAGTTCTGGACAAACTGCTTTTAGAAAAGGTCTAGTTGTCCCCTCCCTTCTCCTCGTCCTCCCCCTCGCTGTCACTGTCTCGACCCGGGTGCTCTGGCATGGTGCTGGGCTGCTCTGTGGTGGGGGGCTGCTCTGTGGTGGGGGGCTGCTCTGTGGTGGGAGTCTGCTCTGTGGTGGGAGTCTGCTCTGTGGTGGGAGTCAGCTCTGTGGTGGGAGTCTGCTCTGTGGTGGGAGTCAGCTCTGTGGTGGGAGTCTGCTCTGTGGTGGGAGTCTGCTCTGTGGTGGGAGTCTGCTCTGTGGTGGGGGTCTGCTCTGTGGTGGGGGTCTGCTCTGTGGTGGGGGTCTGCTCTGTGGTGGGAGTCTGCTCTGTGGTGGGAGTCTGCTCTGTGGCGGGAGTCTGCTCTGTGGTGGGAGTCTGCTCTGTGGTGGGAGTCTGCTCTGTGGTGGGGGGCTGCTCTGTGGTGGGAGTCTGCTCTGTGGTGGGGGGCTGCTCTGTGGCGGGAGTCTGCTCTGTGGTGGGAGTCTGCTCTGTGGCGGGAGTCTGCGCGGGAGTCTGCTCTGTGGTGGGAGTCTGCTCTGTGGTGGGGGGCTGCTCTGTGGTGGGAGTCTGCTCTGTGGTGGGGGGCTGCTCTGTGGCGGGAGTCTGCTCTGTGGTGGGAGTCTGCTCTGTGGCGGGAGTCTGCGCGGGAGTCTGCTCTGTGGTGGGAGTCTGCTCTGTGGTGGGGGGCTGCTCTGTGGTGGGAGTCTGCTCTGTGGTGGGGGGCTGCTCTGTGGTATCCATCTCCTCCTCCTCTGTGTGACTGGGCACTGGCTGGCGCTCCTTCCCCCCTGACGCGTCCCGGTCCGTGGGCGTCTGCTCCGCGCTCTTTTCCGGCTCGTGTCCCGCGGGCTGGGCTGCTTTTTGCTGCTCCGCGGGGGGCTGGCTTTGTTTTGGCGGTTGGGCTAGCTGCTGTTGCTGCTGCGAGAAGAGGGAAAAGGGAGTTATTTTCAGGGATTTCAAGTTCGCATATGAACTTTGGGTCATTTAAGGGGAAACGATGACGCTCACACATAAGCTGAGGCAGATATATCAAGTTTGACAAAAATGACAGGCCGTGAGCAGGCTTTAAATTCATCTAAGAGCGGCTTAGTCTGTACAGGGCTCTTTTATCATACAACAAATTTAGTTAAGAGGGCTCACTAAATAACTATTGATTTACTTGATATAATATTTTGTGATTTACTTTTCCTGCATAACTCACTAAAAATACTGTTGTACTTCGTTTTTCTGGCTGAAATTGTATCTCTTTTTTGTTTTGCGGATAATAATGTCATGACAAGATAGACTTTACTGATCTCACACTGGAGAAATGTACATGCCATGAGAGTTCTAATCTTGTGTCGAAAAAATACATTTCTAACATGAGACTAACGCTCTATTATAATGAATGAACTCTTAATAACCCGTATTTCAGCACAGTTTTAAACGGAATAGGCCAAAGGGACAGCTGATGCAATGGAAGGAGGACTGGGAAAGGTTTTGGGAAGCCCTGCTCTTACAGTGGGGGCCTGCCTTACCTGTCGGTGCTTCTGGGTCTGGATCATGTGCATGTACATGTTGTAGACCAGGTTGGCCATCTCCGGCATGTTCTTCACCACGCGGTCAGGCTGCTTCGACACGTCCCTCTGGCATAAACAACAAGAGAGGACAATTTTAATACCAGCCAATTCTTCATGCAATTAGGATGTTTCCTTTTGCAAACGTCTTAGGCTACGACCAATCTTCAGAATATGGTCTTTTCTGCCTTAAGAATCAAAATGTCAACAAAATAACACTTCTTCTCAACTCTGCAATGGCGTCTTGCGTATGATTGAATACAAATGTTTGACTCGCTCTAAAAAATGCTTGAGGTTCTAAACGACAAAAGAAAATAGCTGCAACATCAGTCAAACGCAGTGAGTTAAGTTTAACGGCAAACATTGAAACATATAGATGGACAATGCTAACCCGCTAGCTCAAATTAAGCTCAACAGGGAAGTGCTCGTGGATAAGGTTTTGAACTCACTCTGGCTCCTATTGACTTACATTGAAAGAGTAAACTCCTCTAACTCAGTAACCTGTTGTGCCACACTTAACATTTTGGGCATGTAAATCTTTTAAGAAGGAAGATATCGTCTGATATCTTTTGGACACAACTGCCACTGTTATGGGGTTAAACTAACCTCGTCGGAAACCAACATAAGGAAGCCTAGCTTAGGTTCCTTCTTCCGCATTCGGCAGCTTTAGTTTAGTTTAGTCTGTATTTGAAACGGACAGTGCAAAACAACATAAACTCAAAGACAGATATGTTCAGAGCCAGATTATAGCTACTCATCTGCAGTCCCCGGCAAACAACACGGCAACGGACAAACACAACAACAGATCTTTCAAACACCGCAAAATAAACAACATTTATCAAATTGCACATCCACACACGCCGAGCATTGATCCGGTGTTGCTGCGAGGGGATCTTGGGATTGCAGTTTAAAAGAAAGCACGGCTGCCTGCGGACGGTGCGCTCGTGCATTATGAAAGGGAAGGCAGGCCAGAGTTGAAAGGCATTGGTATGCAGACGGCGGTGCACAGCAGCTAAATATGCAGTCCGCGGGGAAACCTCTGCTTAAACGGAGGCGATGGGCTTACACACGCACCCAGAGGCCGGCCTGGAATATTTATATGGATGTGAACAGGGCAGCTTAAAGACGATACATCATTCAACATCACAGGAATACACGACTACTCCTTCCGTCTAAGCGTTCTGAGGAGGAGGGTGCAATCATTCCCGACACGTTTTATTGCTTGACATCTCTAGAAAATGTGTCCTTCACTTGGCTGTAAAGTGTAATTGGCAATATGAAGCGAGCAGATGGGAGTTTGATCATGAAACCGGTTTTGTTATGGCTCAGTGGTTAAAATACACTTAAAGCTGGAGCACCTAACTTTTTTTTCTCCTAAATGTAGTTTGTAAAAACTTAAATAGTTATGGTAAATGGTCACAAATATATACGGTTCTCTACCTTTTCAAGTCACTCTAAGCGCTTCACACCAAGGAACCAATCACCCATACACACACACATTCATGCACCAGGGTACACACACTCTGGGGCAAAGCGGGTTAAGTGTCTTGCTCAAAGACAGATGGCAGCAATGAACAATGGGAGCTGGCTTCACACCTGCCAAACTGTCAGTTGATCAGACCACTCAACCAATGTTGTTTATGTGTTTACATGTACTTAATGTAGGAGAAACCGGAGCATTCAGAGAAGAGGAAACCTATGAAAACGCAGGAAGAACATGCAAACTCCACTCAGAAAGGCGTTGGTTGGAACCCAGGAACTTCTTTCTAAGAGAGCACCACTGCCACCGTGCAGTCAATAAAGAGAATTCAAACGCAGGTTTTTTGGTCAAAATTCCCAGCTCTTCATGAAGGCATGGTGTGTCAAACCAGCAGGACTCAGACCTGGCTCCATTGGTTGTATTTGTTGTTGAGCAACCAGTTCCATAGTTTACGTATCCTTAACCCTCCTCTTTTGACGAGGCGGGTCGACACACCATTATTACCTCATTTCTTTTTTATACTTTATTTTACCTCTAGGGAAATCCGTCCTTTGTATTTGATCCATCCTAAAATGCCACTAGGGCATCTGTCAGGTCACTGTAGTACAGCTCTTGGGGCACATGTTTTTAGTGGCAGGGGTAACTGGAGCACCCAGAGGAAACCTACACAGAGATGGGGAGAACACGCAAAACTCCACTCAGAAAAACCCTGTTCTGACCGGGATTTGAACTCACTTTCGCAAAGAATTGAGTAATAACCACTAAGCCACTGTGACGTGATTTTGTCCTGGGTTTAAATAATGTGGCTATAAACAACAATATTGATTCTAAGGTTCCCAAATGTCTGCGTCGACCAATATTACCTTTTATATCACATAAAGAAAGGCTCTTTTAGATGTTATGGGAATGTCATAACTCATTCTTCTTTCCCTTGCTTTACTGTTCATCTTGGAAGACCAAACTTACACAACCTACTGTAAATACAAACAATCCACAAATGCCAGATTATAACTAGAAAGAAAAACCGAGGCCCATTAGGTCATCTTACAAAACACCTGCATACCTATTCCTCACCTACATGCTTTGCTTAACGTCACTGCCGCCATGATCACCAAGTCAAAGCAGAGGTTGGCTTCTCTAAATAGCTGGGGACCCATGTGTGCGCCCAAAGACCTGTCCCCCGTGGCCTCCCGTCTCTTTCTTCTCAGTCAGACGGAGTGTTAGTGGCCCGTGGTATTTCAGACACCTCTCTTGCCGCCGTGATGCCAGCATGAGCCGTGAGAGGGGGAGGGGGCTTGGTCTGGCACGGGCACTGGTGGGACCGCTGACCTTGGAAGTGTAATTATAGCAGAGTCCAGCGCGGAGATGTCCTGGTGTAGAAGGGAAGAGGCCGTGGGCTACAACCACACGTGCTGAGACCTGGGACTATTGGCCAAGGGTCCATTCAGAATAGAGGGGCGATTGCATTAGAGCGCTGACGTCAAAGCAAATACAATCAAAGATTTCTGCAGAGATGTGACTGATACTGTGTCTACAGAGGGAGAAAAACAGCTCACCCACGTCTCAATGCTGATGCTCTTACTGTAATTTATTGTCAAATGCTTTAAGAATTAGTTTATGTATTGGTCATTGCTTTCCCATCTCAAATTGAGCTCTTGTCTGTTGTTCATAACTTACAGGTGGTCAGGTATAAAATAGGACATTGGGTGGAAACTCAAGGAAATCCTGACAAGGCCTGTTGTGGGAATGGAAACGGTGTGTTTAAAAGTTAAAGGAGAGCTGTATGCCCTAATGAGTCCAGTGGTGGACTTTAGTTTAGGATTCGGTGGCACATAACTGGCCTGTTTACCTTGTTTGGAAATGACTTTCTTCTTATTTGTTGTTTTCACACACTCGTGATTTATGTATGAATTTGGCGGCGAGTAAGCTCGTAGGAGTAGGTCCTCTCTTGACCTTTGAGGCAGTGTGTTATATCGCAGCGAATAATAGGAGTCGGATCGTATAAACATAAGCAGTATTTTGAGGCATCACGAAAAGGTGTCTGTATTAGACAGAGCCCACTTCAAAAGCACATAGCTCGGTCCCCATCCCCCTTCAGCACCCTTTCTGTAGTGATTCTCTTGGACTCACGTGTCTCATTATCATACATGTAGTATTAGTACATAGGAAATGATCAAATGGAGCCAAGAACCAATTTATTAAAAAGCAACCGACGCCCTCCTGCTGTATCGCTCCATACATTCTCATGACGTCAGTGAAACATTGTCACATTAAAGGCCCCTACAGGCTCAAAGGACCAAGGGCAATGTCATCTCAGGTGCAAGAGAATACATAAAACATGCAGGAATCACTCTAAAACCAACTGTGAGACAAACGACAAGGAAAAACCATTATGAGAGCAGTGGAAGCTTGTGTTGTACGTAATGTCCCCTTTAAAGGACAAAGACAGCTAAGGTATGTTCCTATGAATTGGGATGTGGCCTTACACACACACACACACACACACACACACACACACACACACACACACACACACACAGACACACACACACACACACCAGATCCAGAAGAGCATGTTTTGAGTTGGCTTTCCTTCTCCCACTCCTCCTCCCCTCTCCTTTCTTGCCCTGATCTTGTGCAGCCGATGGTGGGAGCTCCAAATATGGTGATAAGAGCCGGGCCGTGTCTCCCAGCAGCGCGTTTGACAGAACTCACCCTCCGCACTGCAAAAACTCACCACGCTGCATAGTTTCAAATCTGCTCCACAGTATACATCCAGATTCTAATCCCCTCCACCGCGTTACGTCTAATTGCTTTTGTGACCTAGATGGTTATACTTGTTTCATGGCATTTTAGCTCCGTGTTCAGATATTTTCTCTTGATTTGTGAAGAGTGCCAGAACTTTATTTTTACCCCCATGGGCAAAATCAGTTGGTTCCATGTGAAAAGCAAAAACAGTGAATGATATTGCAGTTGGAATGTGCACTATTTCTGTTTTGAGGGTCATCCACTGAACATGAATATTTGAGTATTATTGGATGGTCAGTTCCTTTAATGCTTTAGATGAGGGAGCAGTGTTATAACAAGGCTAAAAGTTAAAACCTGATTGCATTTAAAAAGTATTTTAGAGACGTGAGTGATGTGTTGGGTCAGAGATTGTTCAGGCCTGTGTGTGTGTGTGTGTGTGTGGGTGTGTTGTTCCATATATGACAATGTTATTTTTCTATGGTTGTTTTTGAACAATTTTGTTCCATAACATCTTGTAAGTAAGTAGTAAGTCATGTTTATGTATATAGCGCATTTTACAGAGCAAGGTCACCCAAAGTTCTTCACAATGTTTTTGGAGTTCAGATATATTTCCATTCTCTCCTATCCTTACATTCATACCTATTGTACATGTTTTTGTGTTGAATGAGGAAAAGGAGGTTGAAGGTTTACAGGCATCTGCTTCCTCCCACCCCTTTTCAAAACATGTGTACAAATGCTTTTTTATTTGTGTTATGCATGTTCTGAAATAAACATCTTGATTGAAAGTTCTAAATTGTTCATATACATTGCAAAAAGTCAAAAAACTCTCACATTTGGCAAAAGGTACCTTAATTTGAGCCCATTTTGACTGCCTTGAAAACTAATGAGACAAGCACGACAATCTAGTTTAAAAATTATACAAGAAATGTCTACCTTGGAATAAGAAAATAATGCAGTTCTTCCAAAACAGTTATTGGAAAAAGAATTAACAGCCTAGTCCCATTGGCAAATCTTTTCAAAGAAAGTCAGAATACGCTCAACTTAAAATTAAAATAAAACAATCAATTGAAAAGTCTCCACTGTGGGATGAATATAGGAATATCTAATCTTATCAATTCAAGCAACTAATACCTCATATTTGATCTCTTTTTGCAGTGTAGCATAACATTGAACTATGAAGGAGGAGGTAACAGACAGGGCGGTGGATGCAGAGGTACTTACGGGCTGCTCCTGGCTGTAGTACTCGTTGGGCCGGATGTGTAGCTCCAGAGGGCGGGCGCTCAGCTGGTTGAACACTGGCGTCAGCTCGAAGCAGTTCTGGAAGAGGGAGACTCGCGCAAACACGTACAGGCCCAGTCTGGCTCGGGACATGGCGACCACCAACCGCCGCACGTCCCTTAGAAACAGAAGCAGAGCGCAGGAGTTAGTACACATAAAGAAGCGCAAGTAGATGTTTCAATACTCTCAACACAGTTTGTAAAAACTACATCATTCACTGCTTTAACACCAGACTAAACTATTACATGTCATAAACACTTGGTGAAAACGCTATTTGGCTTGTGCGCATTTTTTTGGTTAATAAAATAGTTACTTTCGGTGGTAATTGGTTACTTTCAATCTCCAATATCCCACACACACACACATATTTTTCAGGGAGACGTAATGATAAAAGTTACTGCTTCCTCTCAGCTGCCACATCTTGTCAAACAAATGTTATTTCTCAGTAAAAGTATAATAACAATAACGATAACGATTCCCGAGTAGGGCTGAAACAACTAATCGATTAATCGACGACTAATCGATTATTGAAATAGTCGACAACTATTTTAGTAATCGATTAATCGTTTTCTGGTTCACACGGACTCAAACAGAGCAAAAATGACATGAAAATGTAGTATTTTTGATTAAAACCGACTTTGTTTTTATAATTTCATGAATATCTGTCTGTCTCATCCAATCAGATAGCAGAATTAGCACAAAGAGCCTTTTACAAACATTTACTTTAAGTTTACGCCATCAATACGTCCTCGAGTGTTGCCACTTTAGCTTTTTGTGATGAAAAAATAATTTTTTTCTACACAATTCACAGCCAAGCGATTACTCGATTAATCGTAAAAATAATCGGTAGATTAATCGATTACAAAATAATCGTTAGTTGCAGCTCTATTCCCGAGTACTGAATAATACCTCACAAACTAATGTAGTCGTGAGGAAACTTCTATTTTGATTATATTTTATGCATACAGAGGGGGCGGGAAGAGGGAGTGTTTGCATGTGTCCAAGTCCAACTTACATATAATATACTGGTGAATAAGAAACGATGATTATGATTAAATCGGGTTCTTTAACACCAACAGCACCTGCTTTCAGATAACTGGGTCATGTGTCTTGCCCAAGGACAAACATCAACGTGTCCCACTACTGAGCTACTGCCGACAGTGGTGCTCCCAAACCTTCATCTTGTATTCTGGAAGCATCGCTGATTTATGACCAAGAGACAAACTTTCAAATAACACTCTCCAGACAACGTGAAAAATGGAAGGACACATTTGGATTTGTAGTCTAAGAAACACGGCCGACCAAACACACAGATGGATGAAGACAGACGTGCACATTTTTATCAAGCAGCCATTTGGAAAAGAAATGCGTTTCTATGGACAAATATGACTGTTGGCTGGGGAAGTTGAAGAATATTTTTGAGGTATGTAACAGTAAAGCAGGACGAATTATGAAAGATTGTCTTTATAAGCCATTGATTAAAGTGCAACATTGGATAGGTGTGCAAAGGACTGCAACAGCAATATAAATATTGAGATTTTTTCCTTCTCCAAAGAAATCAAAATGCATGTTGGAACTGCTGTGTTTTAGGAACAAGAAGATGCTGCTGTCGTTCTTTCGTTTTAGAACATATTCAACTATATGGTTGATTTCCAGAGACAATAGGCTTTAAAATTAAGTTTAACATGCCATAGTAGCTCATTACCATCAACACTGCAAGTTACTGTAATTGAAAATTATTTCAGGGTAAACTAAAAAAAGATGTCGCTTTGTGAATGAAGGCGGCTGACTTTCATGTTTGAACTAGTTTCAGCTACCATATGAATCTATTCAAGGCTAAAAAAGGGGAACCCAGGTCTATGGAAATGGTTCCATCACGTTCAGGCTAGCCTGGCCAAAGCCATCCGTACACTCCGCTCAATCATCATTTCACTGCATGTAACGTCTGGGTCTGGTCCCTGTGTTAGCGAATAAAATCGGTCGTATTTCGACCGGCAACTCAGAGAGCGCGGAAGGCGGGTGTTGTAGGTCGGTGCCGGTGACGTCAAGAATTTGCGCCGAACGGGCAGGTTGTAGTTTGGCAATGGCAAAGAATGCAATAGTAAAGTAATCCGGTCTGGTTCTATCAAGTAATTGAAGCAGGAGCAAGAGGAATGGCAAATGTAATCACTGGTCAAGATTGTGGCACTACTCCCCACGGGCTCCGTTAGCAGCAAAGGAGATGGCTAGGCTAAATGCTAAATGCTAACAACACACTCGGGCGCATTACATACTAAACTCAGATCCAATCGTTTCAATCTGCAAAAGGAGTTAACCCTTCCCACCTGTTCACGGAGCTCAATGGAGCAAATCCAGACCTTAGTATGAAATGTAATTTGTACTAAGGTGTGGTACAACCAGGCTACATTCAGGCATGTCCAGTTGGATTTGGCATTTAACCTGCAAAACATAACTGAAAACTGACTTCCAAATAAAGTTTCAGTTTCCAACAGCAAAACAACATTCAAAAAGCAAATGTACATTGCCCATAGAGAATTGAAGTGGAGGAAAACAACAGCTAAACAAATCAAAGAAAGAGAAAAATGCCATGTATGTGGGAGGATGTTTCTTTGTGGAATGGCCAAGGTGACTGAGGTAAGGTTTTCAAAGGGCAGGGAGAGAGTGGGTTATCCAGTCTGAAAGAGGAGATTAGAGCTACCGTTTCAAAACGGTCCGAATGCTGGAATCCCACTCGGCTCGCCTCAGCGCTATGAAAGGATGTTTACCAATCCTGCCGCCCAAGAATGTTACGGAAGGTCAAAAAAGAAAAGAAAAACAGCACGCTACGGTCCACTCAGAATAGGTGGCATTTCCGGATTCAGACAATTAATCCAAACGAGGAGAAAAACCTAATCTTGATTGAAATGAGTAGCAGATTGTAAATGTGAGCTTATTTATACAGACTTGTGGAATGCATGTCAGCGCTACTAGAAGTTATTTTTGGAGGCCGTTCCCTTTTTTGGACAGCTTGGAAGAAAATAGCAAAACATTTGTCAGAGTGTGTTATAGTTTTTTCTGGTGTCAAATTTGATAATTTGTCTTTATCCAATCCATTCCTATCATTCAGCTCTGTAATGCCCTGAGTGAGTGAGTGTATTTAGGTTAGTAAGACAGGATAAAGTAGGACTAGTCAGTCTCACAGATGCTATCCATGACTGGTCCTATTTTTTGCGTGTGAAAAAGCAGATCTAAAGAGGTGAACGAGGCCAAACACGCTGTACATTGCAGGCCAACGGGTTTGAAAGGAAGGAACTAATTAGATGGATGTTATTACACAGTTATTTTTTGTGGTTTGAAAGTTAAGTACGCCATCTTTAAAGGCAAAAAAGAGAAACCTTGACTTGAAATTGTGATCTGTAAGTTTTGCCTAATGAATTGGTCAGTTGTGCAAGTGACTTTAGCACTCACAGCAAGAGATAAGATAAGAGAACATTTATTTGTCCCACAGTGGGCAAATGTCAATGTTGCAGCGCACATACAGGACAGTAGTAAGAGCACACAGGAAGCACACAAAATATACAACATAAATAGCTGTAAATGCCTCAGGAGGATTGGGGCAGGTTGGAGAGTTTGGATGGGGCTTCTATTTGCAGTGTGGATGCTGTATCCAGGGGAGTTTCCTCATGATCCTGACAAGATGTCCAGAGGGTAGTGAAGAATTGGCCAAATGCGGACACCAAATATCCCTATGGGGTCAATAAAGTGTGCAGAAAACAACCACTGTCCAGTGTCTCCATTCTATGACCTCCAGCTAACACTCTCCGTAGCTTCTCGCATCTGCGGTTGACCCTGTAAATCCGTATAATCCTAATAAAATAGTCTTACAAAACCATTGTAAGCTCCTGAGGCTTCAAGAGAAGTGCCTCTTCTTAGGTCACAACACTGACCTAATGACCAGAGCGGACCACCTTCCCCCGTGACTACTTTTCTTTTCTTACACACCTCACATTGTTACTTTTATTACAAAGACTAATTCTGCATTTTTATCCACATATACATCTTCTCATGCATCGTTCTGTACATTAATAAACATGCTTATCCATCAACACACTTCAAATGTTAAAGTCAATAGATCAAAACGGTTTCTGAAGCTATAAGAATGTTGTTTTTGTTCAACAATCGCACTATAGTTTGCGGGGAAGACAGTACCCTAAAAACGGCCGCCAACGCGACTGAAATTTAGACTACCGCAAATATAATAATCCAACAGAACACTTTATACAATAGCAGCGACAGAGAAAACGGGACATTAATCTGATCCGTCTAAATTTGGCGCAGTGCAGTACAAGCATTAACATATACAGTAAACTCCATCCAAATGACGGGATAGGAGTCCACCTGCACACACTGAGAGGCTAAGAGGATTAATGTTTGCAATATGTGTGATGGACGTATGAATATGCAGAGAGGCTTATGGAAATGCGTAAAGACTTTGTAAATAAACCAAAAGATTTGAAACTGTATAAAAAAATGAAATAATATTGTTGTGAGAGGTAATTCCAGCTACACCTACAGTGATAGTGGGAGGACACTAGGAGATGGTGTGGAGGAAGGACCAGGCAGATTCCATGAGCAGATACGCCAAATGAGCGTTGGGCAGTGAAAGAACATTCTTTGTTTGTCATTTTGTGCGGTTGAGAAAAAGCCAAAAGGATAAGCGAGGCTTTCAGGGGTGAAGTAAAGAAGAGAAGTTTGTCTTAAAACTTGTCATTGGTGGATAGTTCGTGTCAACAACAAGCAAGTATGCAAGAAATTACTATTTTGCCTATTCTAAGAGCTGTCAAGGAAAATAAATGATCACATATACTTTTTGGGATACAATGAATCACAATTTATTTTATTTGTGTGGCAATTTTTTATATAAAACTGACATTTGAGGTCATTTTGATTTGACCGAAGACTGTATATTAGGAGTGGACTGACCCAGTGCAGAGACTGCAGACTTCATCCATAGTGTTAGTCTTAATACAGAAGAAGCCAATTAAAACTATTTGAGCACGAATGTGGAGCCATATGCCATATACTATCATATAGTACATTCATTCCAGTTTTGTTCCCACTTCTAAAACAACGTTTGGCTCCAGGTTTGCTCCGTGGTGACAGTGTGGATCCCTCTTCATCACGCAGCTTTTGTCCCGATAAGCATCTTGCACAGAGTGGGCTGTGAAAGCGAACAAGGCCGGGTGTAATATTCAGTGTAAGGCTGTGATCCGGGGAGCGATAGAGACACGACAGTGCGCTTGCCAACAAAAGATAAAGTAGTGTGCCCGCACGGCCCCCGCTCCCCCGGCCTTATCGGAGTGCAGCTCTTTCTCCATCAGCTGAATGGAGCAGTGGGATTTAAAGTGTAGGTTATACATGGCATTAAGGCTATTGTATTTTAAGATTTTAGTTAAAGCCCTATCAATCATGTAAGAAAACAAATGCAAGGGGTTTTGTAGGTTTTTTGAAATAAATGTGCATTTCTTTTGAATGATTTGGAGTAAGAAAGTATGACTGACGATCAAGATGGAAAATTCAATGAGTTTCCTTTGAGAATGAGAAAGTGCACCTGGATAGGAAAGTCTTTCCTCGGACACTACCACATGTATCGGGCTAGGGAGGCCAAATATATCAGCAATCAGAGGGCAACATATAACATTTTCTGAGCATTATTTACCGTTACTGTTATGAACCTGTAGCCACCTCTCTAGCCACATATTCAGGCTGTGAGGGCCTGCATATGTGTGTTCTTTATGGATGTTTGAACACTTTTTATGTAGGACCACCACGGATTTGCTTGGATACCAGAAGTACCTCGTCTTCAGTGATTTAAATGTTGAACTTGATTAGAACAAATCAAGTTGGCAAAAAGTGGGGTCAAAAAAGTGAAAAAGACAAAATCATTCTGGTATTGGGTTTGGGCTTGAGTATTGAATCTAATACATTTCCAGTAGTATTGTGACATTTTGTGAGAACTATATTGGGCTGTGGTTGTGTTAGTATAAAATCTATATATAATATTATTTTGGGAATACAATATACATACAGAAGTTTACACGACCAACTGATTTATATTCAACATGAGTATTAGACTAAACAAAATAATAGTTAGTCAAAATACGGAAACTTGCCAATTCCATGCTCCCAACAGCATAAGAATGGAACTAAATGTGTCAGAGTTTTGCGATTCTCTGCTGTGACCGGCTTAGCTATGCAAAAGGACTTGAGCTGCAATTGTCTGGTATTAAAGCAGCATGGAGAGCATTTACTGAAGTGAGTGGAGTGAGTGGAGTGTGCAGTGCTGCCCAGAGCTCAGAGAGGCCATTTCAAAACCTATCGAGTGGAATGAGCCAGGGAGGAGAAAAGATAAGGATGAAGAGACAGAATGTGGACAGAAAGAGAGCAGTTTGGGGGCTGACAAAAAAATCCAAAAGGCACATAGTCATAGTCCACGAACAGTGAACGTGTCTCGCTCCACTTGTAAATGAACAAAGGACATAAGATTGTTGGAGGAAGTTTCCGTGTATGAGAGCAGAGAAGACAGCACGAGACCTTTGGCTCTGATGCTGTGAGCGTTGAGAGGTCTACTGCTTCTCCAATCAGGTCAGAAACTTCTCTCTCTATCCTCTGTAACATGTGTCTATTACACGCACTGCTGCATATAGTATGGAAATACAGTGTGGATGCTTAGCACACAGAAAGCAATAAACTAGTCACGTCTGCAATAATAATAGATTAATAGATAGATACTTTATTGATCCCCGTAGGAGAAATATAGGTGCCCAGTAGCAGAAACACATCCATCCATACAAACACATAAGTACATCAGTTCTAAATATTTCTAGCTAACAATAGTGCACATTTTTAACACAGACAGATATGTTGCACAGTCATATAGCTGAAGGAACAAAGCATTGAAAACGTTCCGTTTGGCAGTGCAGTGATAGAAACCTGTTGCTACGGTTACCCCTCTGAGTGGCCAGTGTCATACAGAGTGTCTCTGGAGTTACTCAGGATGCCCTGCCTTAGAAACCTCATCCTTCTGTCCAACACGGAGACCACAGGATTCACACTTCTCCCCATCACAGAAACACATTTCCTGATCAGCCTGTCGAGCCGGTTACTGTCTCTCAAGGTCAGGCTGCTGCCACAACACAAGAGCCCAGAGAACACGGCGCTACTTACTACAGACTGGTATAATATATGCAACATCTGACCGCAAAGACGAATGAAGATTACTTTCAAGTTAAGTCGACGAATAAGCCTTATTTCACAGCAAAGAAAGATATTAGCAACAACAGAGTCACCAACAAATATGGCCGCTAATACTTTCAACCACTAGCTCACTCTTTAACTATTGCAACTATATTCAAATGCATGTGTTATCAAAGCTAGCGTGGGGTTGTAAATGTATGCACCAACTATATGCTCCCTGTGTCGAGTGAACAAACCCAGGTCTGAAACAGTACACGTAGTGCCTTTGATGAAGCTCGCATCTTTGTTCTATATTGTTCCGTAATGGCTCCACTCGTCTCAGAACAAAGGCTTGATATTCTCGGAGACAATTATCAGCAGCCGCCTCCTCAGACGTGCTGCTGTCCCGAACCAACCTCTCCTCGCCTCACGACACGCCTGCCTCATGCATACTTCAGCCTGACAGCGGCAGAGTCATGAGGTTAGCAGGAGGCCAAGGACTAGGGCTGCAGGTTACTGTGCATTTAAGACACGTGTTAGCAGGGATACTAAGGCAAGAGAAACAAACAGACCATGTCAAAAAGGAGCCCGCATTGTCCTTTGAGTAAAAACTGGTTTAAATCCATTTGTTAGTTCCACATTATTTCTGCCAAAAAGCAATTTAGTAGAAAGTAACTACGAAAATGTAGCGTTTATGATTTGAACTTCCAAAACAGTCAGCGGCGGTGGGCTCTTACCTCAAGTGACCCACGGCTTTGGTGCGGACCAGCGACAGGATGATGTAGTCGTTCTGCTGACCCTGGAACCTGTCCACTGTGGTCACCTGTCACACACGGACACAGAGGATTACACAACACAACATAAACAAGCCGAGCAGGCAAAAACACTCGCCTGTCAAAGTCACGCACCAACGGCTGCATCTGCAAAACAACATTCAACATGGGGAGAAGTTTCAGAGTCTGGAGCAAGCACATTTGGTCATCTGTGTCTAGACTTAGAAAGTAGGAAGTAAACGGATGGTGCAGTATGGTGGTTGTGTTATGGTTGGTTGTGCGTTATTGGCTAGTAGGCTACACTACTGTAACGGCCTGCTCACTGGACTGTCTAAACGAGCTAACGAGTAAGCAGGTAAGTAAGTAATGTTTTCTTATATAGCGCATTTTACAAACCAAGGTCACCCAAAGCGCTATACAATGTTCAGAGTTCATTCCACACATGGTGATGACAGAAGCGAGTCGCCGAACACACTGGGGCATCAAAGCTTCCAATCAACATCATCCATTCACCCTCTCATTTACATTCATACCTATTGTGCATGTTTTTAACAAGTCCTGACTAGAACCAGGAAATGCGATTACGTAGTACGACTACGGAGCTACTACCACATTAGTCCAGTTCTAGTGTCTGCACTGTGGCTCAGAGAATAGACTTCAAAGCAGCTCTACTTGTGTTCAAGTGCTTTTTGGCCTTGCACTTAAGCATATCTGTAACAAGCTTATAACCTTCACTCCTTGTGATATACTCTATCTATGAAGATTGTATAAGCATTTTGAGTTGCCTTCAGAATGAACGTTGCATTAGAAATCAACTTGCCATAACACTAGACAATAACTGGAGAGGGTCAAAATAAAAATAGAGTGGCTTCTGGTAAAATCTCTCTAGAGAACCCAAAAACAATAATCCATATCCTGCAACTCAGAATGAGGAGAAGATCCGTGGACAGAAATTCATGTGTATGGTTCATGGTAACAAGCAATGAAAACAGCATCACCAACTCTTGATAAGGAATATTACATTTCAACTGTTCAGATTGTATTACAGTGCAATATCCGCTTGCACTGTATGTCCGGCAAAAAACATATGTTACATTTGGCTCCAAACTAGTGGCACACCCCTGCCTTATTCTGTGTCAATGCTGCTCTTATAATATTCTGAATTCCTAGTAATCACTGCTGCAGAACTTCCCAGAAGTCTCAGTCGCAGTGAGGGATATGATCTGGATCTTTCAGACTGAAATATGTGGAATGGGTTAGTATGCATGAAGTCAAATTCAACCCCATTCCAAACGGTGGCCCTCGGGAAAATTCTGCCTCTCGTTTTCTTGGCGCATAGAGCCACAAACAATGATAAGAAATACATTTTATGATTACACTTTTGCTACTAATCTAGCATAACAAAGCCGACGTTATGCTTAGTGGTGTGTCTCCTTATCAAGCATCAACAAAGATCAAATGGGCCTTATTTATACAAAGATGGTACATACAGGACTGTTGGGCAAGTTTGTTTTTCTAGATCACAAACTTGCCAACAACTTGTAATTTTGCATAATGGAGAGCTCAAAGACGAGTCAAGAAGAGAGACAATTTCAGAACCTTTTTGGTTATTGTAGGAATTTTAGACATTGTTATAAATGAGGCCCCTGTAGAATCTGTCTAACAAGTGCTAAAATCACTACTCCCACTTGATGTAAAATGTTTCGTCCGTCATCAGTATGATACAGGGTTTTAAATTGAAATCTGAGCTGTTCTCACCATTCTATCGCAAAGGATGAAAGCGGTGCAAGGAAAAAAACAGTCGTGCGGCAAAAGGCTTTCTGAGAACTGTTTACGAGCACGACCAGTTTTCCGCCTTAACGCGTCCCTCCATTTGAGAGGAGATGAGCCGCGCTGCTGGTGTCGTCTGCGCTGGTCGTTATCGCCACAGGCCATGCGTGCAGCCAGCGGGAATAAAGCGGCTTAGAGGGCATTTGCAGTCCCGGCCTCTTACCTGGGCCCAGGGGAGAAGGTAGCCTCAAAAAAGGAAGATTGTTCAGTGGGCGCGAGAGAGCGAGAGCGAGTGCGAGAGAGAAAGCGAGAGTGAGAGGAGGGTTTTATCAAAGCAATGGGAAAGTGGTGTCAGCCAATTTGCTTTGAGAGCGAGGTAATCCAGTGTGAGAGAGCAGAGGTGTGTGGAGTCACGGTTGCGCGCCCAGAGAAAGCCACATTCTGAATATGACAAGAAGGGGGCACAGGAAAAACACCGGAGGTTTTTGCTTCTGAAAAGATTCAAAAGCACAGAGATGAGTTTTGTTTCATTCATGCATGTTTATCTCAAGAGATTACAACTCAAGTGATGGGGTATGGCCTCTTATGCCAAGAACAAAGCCTTAAAGCGTGCATGTCTTCCTGCCTTGCTTTCACAGCCACATAACAATCCTGTTAGAACACTTTTAAACGGCCGTAGATGAAACACAAAATAACACCTTTTTGTAGGGCCATTCAAGATGCCCACTGTTCTTACTTACTTTGGAGATATCATTTCTGCATTGATTTAATCAATCGCTCATGGGGCGGTAATTTGTGCACTCTATATTCTTTTGAAATACACATTTAATTTGATATACAGACTTTATGCATTAAAGTTTGTACATTAAAGTGGATTCTGACGTTAATGACCAATTATCACTAGTCATTAATCATCTTTAGCTGGTTACACAGTCCTATATTTCTTCATGGTTTTGCCCGTGTTTGTGTGTGTGTGTGTGTTTGCGTGCATGCTTCAGAATCAGAAAATGTTTTATTGCCACTTAAGTAACAGGAAGTCACAAACTTGGAAATTGCTTTGGCTCAGTGCAACAGTCAGAAAGAGAGGTAAGGGTAGAGAAGGCATAATAAAAAATAAAGAATAAAAAGCAAAGTAATACATTTAAAATAAGAGTTACAATTAATATACAAGTGCAAATGGTGCACACAATGTAAGGTGACAGCAGTACAGTGAAGTTAATAGGTGCAGTAAAGGATTCAGGTTAGCTTACCATTGGCATCCGAGTAGCTCAGAGTCAAAACCACTCCCCCTGCCCTCCATCGAACCCAACTCCCAGCACACATGAACGCCGGTTCTGTAGTAACGCAGTCTGTGACAAAGCCTCCCAGCTTGAGATGTGAAAGAATTACACTACATTAAGTCTGTGAGCGATTTGCCTGCCATACTTGACAAGCTCTAGCTTCCCCAAAAAAACTAGCATTTAGCAAAACTGGACTGACGTTGCATTACATGCGCTAGAGTCTTCTGGTATAATACCTTATCCCCATCTTTTTTCTCTTCTTTGCAACCAGGCCGAAGGGGTGGTGGCAAATGTGTAATAGGCACTTTCGTGGTTTTCGGTTCAGCCATTGTAGATGTTATAAAAAATCCGACTCAGTCACAACTCAGACAGGTGCGGGCACTGACAAAGGCAGGAGGGAGGGGGGTTGAATGTATCCCATTGGTTCGAGGGGGAATGAACACATCCCATTGGTTTCGTTCTATCGGTCCGCTCCAAATTATTAATACTTTTTTTTTTAGGCTACAGGCATCTGGTCATGTCCGTTTCTACTTGATAACTTGACTACTTATGGGGTTTAGGGAAGTATTCCCACAGTATTTTAAATTGTGTCAGGATAAATCATTGACTGCATCTGTAATAAGGGGTCATGGGCATGTGGTATTGTTTTTAACTGAACTAAAGCATTTTGTGTTGCATGTCATGTATGAAAAGCGCTTACTAAATAAAATGTGTAATCTTTTGTTAGCTCTCGTTTGCAGAGATTGTTAGTTCACGATAATTCACGATGGTAGATGTCCTTTTTTTATTTATCGGCCCATCCCTAGTGGACTTTCATTCTCAATTGCACCAAAACAATAAGCTACAAGGGAAAAAAGTGCTTTCTTGCAAGTTCTGAAGGAACCAAGCAGTGCATTAAAGTCTAAATATATTTGTCTTGTTGCTTGGCGGAACAGGTGCAGCACCAGAGGCAACAGTATGGTGTAGTTTTGTTTTTTACAATAGCCGAGTCAAACCATTCTAGGCAGGTCAGGGGGTGCGTGAGCGGGTATGCAAATATGTATGAAACACTGGCACGGAAGGATATGAGCTAAAAATGTAATTTATAAGCGGCAGCTTTTGTAAGTAGGAATTGGAAGCTGTTACACATATCATAAAAAGTGAGCTTTGAATAAAAATCCTTAAAAACAATGTCAGTATCTTCCAATGACCACCTGAACCTCAGTTTGACTGTCGCCAGAATCAGGACAGAAAGTGTGTGCCTACAAACTTTCATACAGAGAAACAAATCAAATCCAAACCCTGGTAGCAATGAAACATATTGGCAGAGTTCCGAACGACGTGGAAATGCAATCAATGACCTGCAGTTGTTGTTCTTAACTGTGCTGCTAATATGTTTTTATACAACTGTCTGAACAGAACGGTTCTGAGGTTGATTTGGGAAAGCCTCATGGCCAGGACACCCTTGGTATATAAAAAAAAACATTTAAAAGGTGATGTGACCAACTTCAAACGAATGTATCTTTATGACGGGGCGCTGTACCTTTATGTACAGGAAGTATTTTTCAACTGAAGTGTTTCTAAATAGTCCCTCCTCTAACCAACACACGTCCTCAAAAAGTGTCACTATTTCTTGGAAAAGCAACTGACATTTACTTTAAGACTCTTTGAGTTAGATTTACTGGAGATTAGACCAATTGTGAGGGAGCTCAACTGTCAATCAAGAATTTTAACATTTTCTGCCCAATCAGGAAACAGGTGGTGTGAGCGTGGGCGGGTCTGATCAGCGTTTGTTTATTCGCTCTTCACAACCGAAAATCCACTTTACATTGGGCCCATTTCAAACCAGCTGTTGGGCTTGTTCTTGGTTTCATTCTGGGGGCAAACGAAACCCTCCTGTGTGTTTTAAACTGCTCTCTCTCGGTTTTCCACTTGCTTTGGCTGTCCCCCGTCAGTACATAGACACTCACAGACTGGGATCATGAGCTCGCTCGGAGAGGCTTTTACGCTCTGACTTTACGGGACATTTAACAAGAGGCTGTGGGCTTACTGTCACAACAGCCCTGTACAACGTGATGAACACGCAGAACCACTCCAATGAAAGCACAAGCATGTTCTGAGAAAGCAGATGGAGATGTAGGCACTTCAAATGATATAATGGTCAAGAAACAAGAGTTCATTTTGGCCATTAGACATGATCTTAGAAACTTTGACATGTATTACAGAGGGCATGTCCAAACTAAGGTCATTTCATGTGGTACTTTATGTGGCTCTTTGCCTCTCCAACCTAATATTTCAAAAACTTAAAATATCAATATTTCAGTCAAGTTCTAATCTGTGGCGCAAGACTCAGATATGCATGAATGACTGAAACAACTATAACAAGTAAGATTCCATAGCTGAATTTCAAATATTTTAAGAAAACATGAATGGATGGTCTGGTGTGCACCTGCTTTGTTGGATTGAAAACAGAGGACAGAGTGGAATAGCCCTGAACTAGAGTGCGGGAGTACCTTGCTGGGCTGTCCAAAGTAAGGGTTGTTGCCGCAGCGCTGGTTGATGACGTCACGGATCAGATGCTTCTGGCCGTTGTAGGTGGTCAGGATGCTGATGCGGTCAGAAGGGTACCCCAGCAGACGCATGTACATGAAGAGGGCCACCACGTACTCCGCCTCGCCCAGGTTCTGCCGGCAGCACAGAAACAAATGTGTAAGCACAGGGCTGCACCGAAGGAGGGAGCAATAGGACTGTAATCTGGAAAACTAGGATGGCAATGTACATTTCCCCTGAACAATAAATTATGACCATGAGAGAACTTAACCATGCAATTTTTTAGAACAACACAACATTACAACAGCTGACTAAAATGTGCAACACTCCCATCTAGTGGAAGAAGTGGGAAATCACATCCTACTACATTTAGACCTAAACTGTGGTAAACAAAATTAGTCGTAAAACAGACATCACAAATATGGCATATTCTGAAATCTAAAATTTCCCCAATCTGGGACGAATAAAGGATCTTTTAATCTTAATCTTAAATTCAAAACTGCTGAAGATGAAATGTGTGGATGGGGCGAGAAACAACAAATGTATAACAGCTCTGTTTTTAAATTTGAGCACAATGTCTGAAGATTCAGGTCATTTTCTGAGCTAAGCCCTTTCCTCTTCACACGTTCAAAATAAAAAGATGCATCGCTGTCTTTGTCCTTCACGAGGGGACCAGGAAACAAAAGCGCTCACAACATCTGCATTATTTATCCACTTTCAATTAGCTCTGCAACCCCCCACTCCACACTGCGAGACCTTCTGAAGCGGTTTCATCGAGACCATCCAGCTTTGTTCTCTGAACCACTTGCCTACATTCTAGCTGCACACAGTCAGCTATTAGCAAGCAGTGTTTGTGGTTATGCAAAGTTGATTTAGGATTTTGCCTTGAAGAAAACATGAGGGTAGCGTGATGAAACAAAGGAAACATGGTTGTTTTATGAGTTGGAAAAAAAAACCTGCAAACAATAGCAAACTTAGAATCACTTGTATAACTTGGGGGGAGGGTAGGGGTGGGGATTGCAAACTTAATTACTTACCTATCACAATACCTCAACATAAGTCATTGAGAAAATAAGAACTGAGATTTTAAAAAGGACAGGAGAGGCACTCATTTCAATAAAGTTTCTATCTACAAATAATGTATAATTTGTCCATTCCCTCCATCTACCAACAGGAATGCACCTCAAAACCACAACATTTAACTTTTATCCCAGCATTAGGGACTACAGCTTTGCCATTTGCACTATAATCTCGTCAATTGTTTTTGTTTATCCACCATGGAGCTGCAAGGAAGCCTGGAACGCAAACTATTCAGCTAATTCTATTTGCCATCTGGACTTGATTTGCCAATTAGCTGAGGACATTTGTAATACGATTTGAGTCAATTTGGAGGTTTTTTTTGGGGGCTAATGCACTGAAAGATACAGCTTTGTGTCAGGAAACTTCAATTCAAACTGTAATGTCAGAAGAACTTTGAAAAGCAAATGGGTGGTCAATATTTTGGGCCATAAATGTTTATCACTAAATTAAATATTGTTGTAGATAATGTTTTTGTTTAAATCTATACATATCTAACAAATGTTTTATGGCAGACCCTTTTACGTGATAAGAACCCCCCCCACAAAAAAACAAATATGTATTAACACAACAACCTACAGTCCTTCCCCCCATCATAGAATATATGTTTTATGATGCAACACTGCCCCCTTCTTAAATATGTAAAAACCTATGCAACAGTGCACATTTTACAGTGAAATGAAAGTTGGTTCAATATTAGAATCTGTCCTATTGAATGGAATAATGCAGACTTAGCAGTAGTTTACTTTAGTAAGCAGTGGATTTCCTTTTGATGACTTCAACAAAATAACTGCATTGAATGGATAAAATTTGTGCCAAAACATATTTACCATGTTGCCGATCCATAGCAGAATTCATAAGAAAAACACTGAGCAAAGCAAGTACAGTGCAGTATAAAATGGTTAAAAGCTCGAGAAAGTCAACTCTGTATAATGTATAAGCTTTAAGTTAACAGATCGTTCCTGCAACGTTAGAAAGAAGCCGGCGCACTGGGATCACATTAACATTCATATTCTCCATGTCCATAGTTCATATCAGTCCTAAAGCCTGTGTTTTCTCTAAGCAGCTCTTCAGCATTAGAATTCATGTTTTCTTTCCCAGAGCGAGGCATTCCAACCCTTCACTAATAAGTGTGCTCTGTCTATAACCACAGTCCGGTCAAGAACATGTCAAGAAAAGCACAGATGAAACGGCAGTAAGCAACCTCATTCAGCATTGATTTTGCACTATTTTTACAAGGCAATCAAGGTTACAAATCTGACCCCTGATGAGCCATTTGGCAGTGTGTGTTCTATTAATAACACGGAAGTGGGAAAAGGCTGCTGTTAATGAGGCATGAGCGCAGACTGTCCAGAAGAGATGGTAGATTTTCCCCGTTTAAATGGCAAACAGTGTACGTGTACCGCATGCGCAGGGTGGACGTAAAAACAATATGCAGCGCTGGGAGATGAAGCGAACCACTGACCTTTGGAACAAGGACCGAATATACTGCCTTTGATGGCGTTTTTCAAATCCAGAGATGACTTGTTAGGCGCAAGACGGCTGGCAGATTCAAATGTGTGTTTTTAATAGGACATGGGCAGTATGGGTTGATATTTTGCGCATAGGTATTTTCACCTATTTCATTAATCTATTTAAGACACTAACATTAACATTTCTAGCCAAGGGTAATGTGCATGATCCATGCCTAATACAAAGGCAAGATTTTCCTCAAGCCATTGATGGTCATCCAACTGGCTGAAAATCTATTCAGTTTATGTTTGAAAGCCTTCAATTTCAAGTTCAATTTGAGCCGAAGACACCTGGACAGAAAAGAACTACCCAAACGATGTTCTCCTGATGGACACTTTTACAATTCCATTAGTTACACGTTTTGTATAAAAAGCAGGATCCTAACGCCATACACGAAGGGTGAACATTAACTTACATGCAAGCAGACGGTTATATGTAAAATCATATACAGCAGTGAAATTTTGAGAAAAATTGTAAACTCATTATAATACAATGGACTCAAAAGTTTTCAACATGAGACGAGAACACCTTTGGCACCTTCTCTATGAGCTCTGGATTTTGTCTTGAGCTGCGGCTACATTGCTCTTCTGGATGTTCAGAACACACGCAAACCATGTGTTCGAAACATCCCGACTCTAAATGAGATGCAGATGTATTGTCCCATTTCCATGTACTCCGACAGAAGTTAGCAAAAAAACAAGAGACAATCACATCTAAAAGAAACCCAATTATCAAAAAATATTGTCTCCAGTAATGGGGGCATCAGGCAGCCATGAATGCTCCTTTTAGTTTCACACCAAAACAAACATATACCCGATCAGCAGCAGTGTGTTTGAGACGTGGCCTGACATTACATTTACAGTTATGCAAAAAAAAAAGCCAGCTAATCAATGAGAACTTTCCATAGCCTTTAACAGTTCGGTCAGTTAGTGTTTTAGCTTTAGAAAATGAGAAAAAAACAATGTAATTTCACATGATGAAAGCAAACCTTTGGCTATCACAAATGCTTTTCCTCTCGTAAAGCCTTGTGCGAGAGTTGTGCAAGAGTAGGTCTACATTTTTTCTGTAAATGCCGATGGCTTTTGCCTAATGTTTCTTGCAACAAACACAATCCGAACTACAGAAGACACCATTAGACACTCGAGCAGCTCAAGCACAATATTTCCACACTTTTCACAGTTCTGGCTCGCAGCGTTGTTAACAGCAGTTCTTCAGACGTGGTCGGATTCTGCAGGCGCCAGCTACAACTGCTCCTCGAGTGTCCAATTTATGTGTGCTGGTTGTTAGAGAGCCTTTTCCCGGAGGAGGCTGGAAATGGCAGCGGGGCGAGATGAGAGGCGCTTCATGTGACCTGCTGTGGAGCGGAGGACAGGGCTGCTCTGTGTGGGTGTGTGTGGAGCCCGTCTGACCGCTGGGGATATGCTTTTATTATGGCAACTTTGTAATTGAACTTTGACAGCGTGTGGGAGTGAAGGAGGGGAGCGCTGTAGATTACTTCTGCGTGTTAAAGAAGACGTGCAGTGGTTATTTCTGCAGTAATGGCTTAACCTGTGTCACCTGTGGATCATTTGTATGCGTTTTGAGCATTTTAAAACGCAAACAAACAGGAGTGGAGCGGTCTACGTTAGTAAAAAACATGGACTGCCAATGGCCTGTCTTTCCCATTCAAACTAATACACTTTCACTCATGCAGAGCCCATGAACTGCCATGAGGGGGCCCTTGCTCTTTTAAAAGTGCTTTCAGTATCCCTACTGGATTCTCCAAGAAGTACATATGTGATCACAGGCGCTGGAACTGCTGTTGTGGTACGTGTCATTTGACCTTGCCAGATCTGCGACAGAACCAAATAGCGGCACTTTCGGCAAACTTAAAAAAAAAAAATCACAGACTGCTTATCACAAATTGCTAAACAGACCTGGTTCGAACTAGATCAGCCCCGTCACAGGGTTTGTAGTGTATTACATCAGCGGCAACTCACTTGTTTTTAGCTGTGATTGGACAGCCAACCGCTCTCACTGGTTTTAACATGGTTACAAGGTATATTTCACAAGAGATAAGTCTGTGATACAAAGCTAAAGGAAAAAGACAGAGCGGGTGCTATTCCCTGAGCAGAGAAGTCACAGCCTGATCACAAGGAAGATTCTACAACTCTTCATTTAATGGCTCCAGCTCCATTGCAGCCGCATATATAAGATGGATTACAATATGTGGACTGAACTCAAGAGAATAAAGAATAAAGAGAGTAAAGAGAACCGGCTCTGACAAAGACAGTCACTAGGAAGGCAGGATATTGCCCTGGAGTATATTACAACTACCTCTGGGATTTCATATCATCTGCATTAGGAAGTTCAATTGTATCAATCAATTATCAATTATCAGAATCAATCATTCTTTAAAATAATAGTGAATTGTGCTAAAAAGCTTTTCACTTGAAATTTTAAGTGAAAAGTGTGGAGGTTTCCCTGAGCAGCACAGAGACACACGTTGCCAACAGCAGCCCCAACCTCAAGTGGACGAGCACAGGAAGTGAGCGCATTTTGTTTATGACCCTGTCCAGAGAGGCAAAGTCACCAAAGAGGTGAGCGCAAAAACAAGCCAGAGAAACATCAATAAATTGTGATAAATACCATGAAGCCACAGGGTCAATGCAACAGTTTAAGTCTGTAACCAGAGGCTCCAGTGCGGAAATATTAATATAAGGTTGTTATGCAACCTTTGCTACCCTATGGACCAACCGATGGACCAATGGCTCCTACGTGTTGGTTATTACTTCATTTCCTGTGTTCCATTATTTGATTCTCCTGTTGTTGGTGAATCAGCAATATTGTGAAGTCTTCTGAGATGACTGCAGCTTGTTAATTAGGGCTGTACAGTAATATATTGAATTTGATTTAATGATATAGCTCCTTTCAAATTATAGTTATAAAGCCCTTTTACCATTGTTGGCTTTATTCTATGATGCGCAAGCAGGATCCTCCAGCCACAAACCAGTTACTCACTCATACATCTATATTGTGCAACCCAAGGATTCAGATACCAAGATATGCAAAACAGTTTTGGAATGGAAAGCTCTGTAGAACTGCAACTTATTATAAAAAGACAAAGATTCTTCCTGGGGCCGTTTACAGTCAGCTGAAGAGTGGTCAGGTCTGGTCTAAATGTCCGTTCTCTTGCACAGTCTGAAACCCTATCTGCCATCGAGGACAGAGCTATCACAGCAGACGCCTGTGCTGTCTGCTGTGTCTGCGGACTCGGAGCACCTATGAATATCTCATAGGCCAAACCGTGAGCTTTAAAAATGAATGAACAAAGCCACAAACTCCAGTCAGCGTGAAATGGAGGCTGGGGACGACTCGGCTGCTGCTGCTCCGCGAGTGAGTGGGAGAGGAGGGACATCCATTGAAAGGGAAAACGCCATAACTGCCACTGTGTACAACTGGATTATTTCTGGACCTCGCTGAGACATGCAGGACAGGAGAGACCTGTGCTGCAATAATAATCACCTGGCAATAAATCCAAATGAATTTTTTAGTGACTTTGGCAGTGATATTAAATGTTCTCTGAAATACAATTGATTCTGAGCTCCCACCGTGGTGGGAACATCCATCCTTAACATCCACTTGAGTGCCTGATGGAGAACTTAAAATAAGGTCAGTGGATTGTAAAAACACACTATTAATAATCAGAAAAACTGTAAATGCAGTGTACCTCAAAGTCTAGACTAGTCCCCAAAATAATTGTAGAAATGGGAATTATAACCATGTAAAGTCACAGAAAGCTATTAAACAATACATTTAAATACATTTGTGAAAAGGTATGAGGAGGTGAGAACAGCTCCACCAGAGCCACATCCAGGGGAGACTGTTACGTGAACTTTAGGTCCTCCTCATTTGGTCAGAACTGTTTCTCTGTCAAAGCAGCAGTGGCCTGGAACTCACTACCTCTGTCTGTGCGGGAGAGTAGCTCACTAGGACAGTTTAAACTCAGCCTAAAAAACTGGCTCAAAGAGAATCAAGTCTGTAGTCATTAATCAGATGTAAATAATTGTGTGATGTATACTGTATTTTGTATGTATTGAATTGTGTCTGTGTGATTTAGAGGTGTTGTATTTTATCTGTATTTTAATTAGGCCATTCATTCTTTCTATTTATCAATTCTTTGCACACTGTAAACCTGCTGTCACGTTGCCTCTGCCTCAGGGACTACGGATGAAAATTATCTTGTAGCTATATCCGGTCTGAACAATACATTTGTGCAATGTCCCTGTCAAATAAACAAATAAATAAATAAAAATAAACAACAGTAGTACAGTAGATTACGGTCACAAGCGTTGATAAAAATGTATGTAATTGATGTTTTAGACCAAGTCAAAGTGTATTTTGGATCATGTCATGGCCTGAACAGCAGGATCAGCCACCATGTCTTTGCCCACCAGGCGGTGGTCACTGACCTGGTAGAAGTAGGGATTGGGCTCAGACTCTCCCACTCCGTTGAAGTCCTCCACGTTGACGAGCTGAAAGTCGAAGGTCAGGCCGGGGTTGGGCACCTGGAACTCCTGCAGCCGCTGCACGTGCGGCAGGTTCCCCAGCTGTTTGTAGCGCCAGTTGTACAGGTTACAGAGACTGCAGGCAGAGATACGAGACAAGGATTTAGAGTCCAAATTGTAGGTTGACGACCAAATGCAGCCTTTCAACTATTCAACCCTTCAACAGTTTAAGAATTACATTTTCTTAAAAGTTGGATTTTAAACAAGAATAACCAAAGGGAACAGCAATAACACTTTAAATTCTAACTCAAAGGAAGAAATGCATTTCTACTGAAGAATAAACTCAAAATATAATTGAATCAAAATAAAAAGTTCTTGAATCAAGAATGTAATGAATGCTGTTTTATCCGTTTATAATCTTTGTGATACATGCTAAGTATTCAACACAGGATAAATGCTACGTTTACCTTGTGTTTTAAAACATGCTGAAACATGAATATTGAATAGTTTAAAATATTCACTGTAATATCAGTAAAATCACTTTAGAAAAAACTTTACCCAACCAATAGAGGATTGCAAGGTCAATAACATGATTGATGCCTAAGACAAACCAAACAGTGAATTAAAATGGTCAATATGCAACATAAGGGAGATGTATTGGTTTTTTCAGAAGATGCTTGGCTGCATACTGGCTCAGCGCTCGCTCTACATCCCCAGTGCTGACCTGGCGCGTGCTCGTCCCTGTGCATCCAGGTCCACTGTGGGCACTCCAAGGCGGACGCAGCGGGTGAACAGGGACTGCTCCATGTTGGAGTACTTCTGGAAGGCCATGTTCTTGATGACAGGGGGCAGCTGGTGGTGGTCCCCAATCATGATCCAGCGCTTCAGTCTGCTGTACCCGTCCTCGGGGTTCTGAGGGACCACACACAAACGGGTTACTTGAACTCCTCCAGTAGATTTACATTTGAGATCTATTGATATGATAACAACTAATATATCACCTGCAACAGTAGAGGGATGAACGTCTCAATTTCCAGAATCTGGGCAGCTTCCTCCATTAGGATGTTGTCATACTAAAACCAGAGGCCATTGAATTTGTCAATATGCTAATAACTTAAACAATATTCCATGAACAGAAGTAGTAATAGTAACAGTAGAAGCAAAAATAAGGAGCAGTAGCAGCAGTAGAAGTAGCAAAAGTACCTTGAAGCCCAGCTCCACCAGGTCGTGGCGTTTGAGTGCGGCGTGAGTACACGTCATGGCGATGATCTTTGCCTCCTTTACCAGCAGATACTTGGAACGGTCCAGTCCACTTCTGAGCAGCTCAAAGGCCCGGAACTCCTACACATGGGGGCAGGGGAGACACGAGTTATTCGGCTATTCAGAGTATTACACATTAACTTGTTATTTTATGAAATCATTTGTTTACATTGTCCTCAAACATATTCAAGGCTGTAAATTATATGCACGGAGGCAAGTTCATTTCAAACAAGGTTGGAAAGAAAAAAATCAATACCCATGTATTAAAACGAACCCTTTCCGACCCAGAGTTTTCCAGATGAAGCAGACCAGAGGTGGCTTAGGGCATATGAAATATTACACACAGCATACTGAAGGGCCTCACAGGTAATCTATATATTTTTTTATTGTACTCTCAAAATAGCCTGCTTACCCATATTCCCCTCCACCTGATTTTATTGGTCAGTGACCCACACCCTCTCTACAGTCTTGTGGTGAGGATGAAATCTGTGCTAAAGTGCTTTGAGCCGCGCTTATCGAACACAGGACAGTCTGCTGCTTTTGGAGGAGGAGATAGTGTCTGGAATAGCCCATCTTCTCCCAGATGACGGCTAAAATTAACATTTCGGCAATGTGCATTTTGATCTGATATTCTCAATAGAGACTGTAATTGAGGTCGAAGGCCCTACAGGCTCTGCTCAGACCACAGATGCAGCTCGCAAAAGCACTGTGATTAACTTGTGTTTATAAATACAATGTGACCAAAGTTTTAGCTCAGTGGGAATTCAATGTTCAATTCAATTTATTTGTGTATATCCCTAAATCACAACGGCAGTCATCTGAGGAAAAAGTTTTGATTCCACAGATCCGATAATCAAACAGTTTGAACACAGGAAATGCAATACCAAAGGGAGCAGAATGACCACTGTCCATGAATGTTAATAAATGTACTAAAAAAAAATAAAAAAGGAATGAGCCTAAAATTCAACAGAAATATTTCTTCTATAAGCATTAGCAACTCTCTTCAATTTCCTTTGTCACTCATCTGGAATCCCATAACTCTACAAGAACACAAATTCCTTAATGGCATAGGTGATATTACATTTCTCGTGTCTACCCGTAAACATAATGCCAGACCTCCTAGAAAGGCCTGAGAGTGTGTTTTACCCCCACCAGCTCCTGCTTCACACTGCGACTAGACTGCTGCTCAGAGGTGCTGCTGACACTTCACTTCACATACTTATCCCATCCATCAGCGGCCTTTGTAACCATCCATCTCTGTCAGCGCAGCCTTCAAAACAACAGGCCCGGGCCGCTAAAATAGATCCCGGTAAATAGAGACGTATTGACACGGAGTATGGTGGGTATTAACGATAAACTCGAAATAGTGTGACATTAAAGGTGACCTGCTACGCAAAATTGACCTCCTCGAGCTTTAAAACCTAGAGTAGCCGTTTCCCCTTCTCGCTTACCTATTCATAGTTGAGTTTCGAGAGCTTCACGCATGTTTGAGGCCACCAAGACGCCAGTTCTCTGACCAGCTCTTCTAGTCTTCAGCTTTGATAACAGCAAGAGTTCATTGTTCAAAAAGCTGCAATATCAAGAGATTGATTTTCATCCAGCCTTGATTTTTTTTAAACAGAGATTTTGTGTTGATCCTGGGAAAGTCATACGGAGTGCTACAACTGTGCAAGGCTTTTCAAAGCTCAATCGACTTTATTTTTACAACAAGTAAAACAAAAGAAAAATATACTACTCCATGTCACTACTTCTATGACCGCACAGAAAAAAGTATGTTTTCCCTCATAAGCTACTTTCCACCAACCATACTAGCATCGTATTGCCATTACCAGGACCACCTTAAAGGTACACCTTACGGTTTTAAAAGATTGTAGGACCCCCTCTCAGTGCCAATCCTAACCCGAAAAACATTTTAAATCTTGAATTGATAACTACAACAACTCGACTAAAACAAAAGAGGAGAAACCCTGCTTCAAAGATATGTAAGAAATAGCATACAAACTCTGGAGCACATGGAAATGCACAAAGTGAAGTGGTTAAAAATTCAACAATTCCCCTTTTTCCCTTGAAATCGAATAAGCCCTTGACTATCGTAGCTTCAGCCCCTGCAAGCCCTTTGGAACAGATATCCATGGTCATTACAGTTGAGAATCAGTACAGTATTCTAGCAAGCAACTTTCAACAAACGGTGCCCAGGAAATTGATTCATGCAGATCACTTTACAAAAAATACATGATACATCAGTCCACCTTTGTTCCTCTTGTCTTGAGCCCAAGGAGTTTGTAATAGATCTTGATCGTCACATTCCTGTCCTTTTCCCCATCTCTAAAATGTGTGGACTCCTTTCTGCTAAAGATTCTGGAGTTCAGGCTTTTGCAAACAGTAGATTAGACCATTGTAACAGCAGCTCTTCCACTTAAATCAATCCAACGACTGCAGCTCATTCAAAAGTCTGTGGCTCGTGTTCTGACTCGGACTTGAAAAAGAGCTTGTGTTATTTAAAGGTCTTCAGTTCTGGCTTTGATTGACTTCCTTCTGCTTGTTCATAAATCCCTTCACAGTCTAGAGCCTTATATACTTTACTTGTACTTTATGAACCGTCTCACATCCTCTGACCTCAAACAAATTTGGATCGAGATGACAAGAACCAGTGGAAACGAAGCTATAAAAAAAAGGCACCTTTTCAAAAAGCGGACTAAACCAATATATATCACGATAACGATTTTATCACGATATGATGATTATTGATATATTGGTCAGAAATATACAATATGCCAATTAATGGCAAAAATACAAGAAAAAATACTCTTTATTTCATGATAAATAGAATGGAGATGCATAATGTAGCCATATATTAAGTATTGATACCAATTTAAAAAAAAACATGTGTAAAAAAATAAATAAATCGATATCGATACTTGGCAAATGCATATCGATAATCGAATTGCGGGAGAAAGTATTGCGATATATCAAAAAATGTATATATCGTCACACCCCTAAATACAAGCACATCTTGGTGTTTGAGATCATACATTTTCAATCATAATCAACCAAATGGTCAAAATCTAAACCTAACAAACTATTATGATAATGATTTGTCAATTTTAGAATAATTTATCCAGGATCTTCCATTTTAGTTTTTTACAGTGCATCGTGACAGACAGGGCAGCCAGCAGCAGTCCCAGGCAGCTCACGGCTGTATAAATATTTGATATGTTACTATTTTAAAATTAATATTAACCAATCACATGATGCATTATTGAGAAGGTCTATTTTTAACCCCCGCGGCTCTGGGAGGGTACTGGGCCGAAATGGAGATAGTGAGGCCAGAGGACACATATGGTCAGGGAAAGGGGGAAGCTGCAAACTGGTAGAAGGAGTAAGGAGAGGAAAGACGATCCATCTTTGGAGAAACCCACAAGGCATTCTGGCCCTGCCCCTCCTCTGCACTGAAAGCATTGGTATGCTGAAAGGACAGGCGACTGGCTGCTTTCACATTCATACAATCAAACAGTCAAAATAGACCTAATACTTTGTGGCAATTATTAAGTAAGTAATCTTTATTTAGGACATTACTAATAGCACATTTCACAGAACAAGCTCACACACAGCACAGTACAGACGGTGATGACACTAGCTGACATGTTTTTAGTGGTTGGGAAAACAGGAGGACAACGCAGAAACCTCCACCTGGCCCAAGGATCAAATCCGGGACCTTCTTGTTATGACGCACAAGCACTGACCACTGTTTGAAAATTCCCAAAACTAACTTGAGGCAATGCTTTGATTTAGAGGGAGGGGGCAGAGGGACATGTTTGGGCCATTTTATGCAGCTGGAGCCTCTTGGAGGCTCGAGTTGTTTTTATGCAGCTCAAGCTAAATAAAACACAACTCCAGGTTTGTTTTTGATGAGAAAAAACAGTGTAACTTTGACACAAAACACATCAAGTCAAATATTGTACCTTGTTTTCACTTCTCCCCCTTTGCCGGACACCTGTATTTTGGATTCTGAAGACAAGATGAGCACATTCAGCACATCTTGGCTCCAGCTCCACACAGGACAGCAGTGGCTCTTCGTGTGCGTACAGATTTCACTGCAGCGTAGAAGAGGGGAGGGAGGGGCTGGGAGCCGAGAGTGGTGGGGCATGGGGGGGAGGCATGGGTGTGGCGATGCAGAGACACACAGCTCCGCACACATAAATCAAGGTCACCACGCATGTTGCCGATATTACCTCCAGCCAATAACTTCTTTATTGCTTTTCGGAGACCTTCCCGGTGTTCCTCATAAATCTGAAAGGCCATTCCCGCGGCCGCTGCGCTGTAGAAATGCAGGAAGACGAGGGGGCGGTGGGATTGCGACTCAGTTCTGAGCCGCTCAGGGGGGGAGAGGGCTGACACTGAGTAAAAGATAAGTAATAGTGTTGTGTGCGGGTAACAAAAGCAGCAGCGTCCGAGTCTCTTAACTCAATATTAACACCAGATAGACACTCGTAAGACTGGGGCGGGAAGCACACAGACACAGCAGCTTCCAAATCGCTTCATTAATAATGACCATTATTCATCGGTTTATTAATTATGGTCACCATAATTTTTAAGATATGTTATGTAGAAGTTTTGTTTTTCATGCTTGCCTCATTCTATTTTAACTTTAACTGTTTAACTGCACCGAGAGCCTAAGCAATTCCCTAGTTGGTGACTTTGGTTACTCACAATGGCAATAGTTTGAGGAAAAAAAGGGATTGCCAATTCCCCTCATATTTAAATGAGTAGATGTCTGAACCCATCAAATTCTTTCTTTGTCACATCTTTAGAATTCTTTCACACAAGGATGGAAAACATCAAAAGTGAATTATTTTCCTCAGGAAATAAAAAAAGGCAACAAAAAATGGTATTCCTCCTCTCTACTCCCCCTCCCTCCCTGGGTGGATTCTTAAGTTGCCAGGTCTGCTTATTTAGAGGGACTTGTGTGTTTATTTTCAACAAGGAGACGACCAAAGCAAAAGTGGAAAAGCTGAAAACGCATATAATCAGAAGCTTTGTAACATGTCGATAGTGGCATAAGTGGCAGCTGCTCTTCCACAGCTCATGTCCTCCACAGGCCACGGACACATCAGCGCCTGTTTGCTGGCATTTTCACACTGACCCTAAATCCAGGGTTTTCAACCGATATTCCTCCTTTCAGACTGAGAAGTGCCAGAACGACTTCATCCTAAACTATTTTCAACGGCTAAACTTGTAAATTGTTTTATAGCTTGTTGATTGACAGAAATAAAGCAATCAGCAAACATCAGCTATTACGGCAGCTGTAAGTAAATGAATAAGTAATAATAGAAAACCTGGCAACACGTACAGTGCTAATCCAGGTGTGATCATCATTTTTGGTCCAAAGCTTCTGTGCCTGTGGTTGAACTATACATTGTAACTTTGATTGGAACGGTTTGACCTCAAGTGTCTATGTCAAGACCCACTTCATTCATAGTGAACATAAGTGGGTGTGGTTTGCCAGGCTAGATCAACTCGCCACAGTAAACAGTAAACAGTAAGTAGTCGTCTTGTGACTTTGGAAGACTTGTTTTGAAAGTTGGAATATTGTTTTGACACATTTCTTTCACAGAGCATTAGTTTTTAGCTACACAGCTTTTGCAAAGTCCTGTTATGACACAGCCTTTGGTCCTGGGCTTAAACACCATGTCTGCAGTGTGAAATAGCCCTGTGACACATGATGGACACATCCTACAAACTCAGCACAATTTGTTGTCTAAAACTGAGGCTGTGCTGCCTCTAGTGGCGACTTTGTGACATCAGTCGTATGAATACAATTCCACTTCAACAACCCACTCTGCTCCTTTTATCGCCAAAAGATTGCAGCAACACAATTTCCAAACTGATTCAGCGATGAATTGGGTGTTGGGACTGTATGAGCGTACCTCTAACTGTGTGAAGATTTTCTTGATGTGGCGGTAGCATCCCTCTGCGATGTCCACATCCTCTTCATAGGTGCGCCCCTTGAAGACGGGCTGGGGGGCGTTGGAGAAGAACTTGTGGAATGGGAAATGTTCTGCCACCTCCTCCACTGCCACAGTTTTACCCTGTTTTGGCTTCACTTTGCTCAAGTACTGCTCCCAGCGAGAGATCACCTGAAACATATGGATAATTGGAAATTCAAGATTTCTCTTACATGATCATTGATGTTTTCTTCATGTCCTGCTCCCATTAGTCCCTCTCAATGGCGGAGCCACAACTGTGTCCTGGCTGACCAATAGAGTAAGACATGGATGACAACACGGGTGAATATATTATATATACAGTATGTATACGGGTAGGGCTGGGCGATATATACGTATAAGCGGTATGCGATATAAATTTGGCCCACGGTAGAGATTTTTGTTATACCGGCATATTGCGATAGGTCATTATGTCATCAAATTGCGCAGGCTCTGACGCCAGCAGAGAGCATCAAAACAAACCGGCATTCAGCAGCATTAGCCTAGCAAATGAGCCTGGCAGCATTAGCCTAGCACATTAGCCTTGGACATTAGCCTAGCAGCATTAGACTAGCAGACACCACTGGAAACAGCGAACAACAGCACGGAATTCACACCGTGTTTCTGTCTCTGTATTGTTGTCACAGCGGCCCCAGCAGAGGTTAATACATACACAGTAATCACAGTTTAAGAGTCTACCTTTAGGCCAATCGTGTAGGCTCGAAGCGCCAGCGTGAGCCAAAATAGATCCATGCGTGTGCCGTGTCCGCAGCATCATCACATCAGAAGTTTGGGAAAGGTAGCGTCAGATTCGGACCTCCGCGGTCAATAGCTCACAAAAGCTACTTTGTTAAACAAAATTAATTGTGCCAAAATGACCATTTACATGAAAAAAACGCTCAGGAAGCGTCAACAAATGTCAAGACCAGCTTTGGTCTTGCATTTGTCTCACAACTATACTACAAATATATATATACTAAATTATAATATATAAATAAGTAACAATCTTGACTATTTTATGCAATAACCTGCTATACCTAAATTGAAATTCACACACAAAATTATACCGCAATATATACCGTCTACCGCCTGTGTCCCAAATTATACCGCAATATGAATTTTAGGCCATATCGCCCACCCCTATATACGGGTGTCAATTGGTCTGTGGACACCTCTACCTCTCTCGTGTATGTATGGTCTGTTTTCTGTTGTTTCTGTATGTAGAAATTTACTACAATGGTCTCAATAAATATAGAAAACTTAAATCGTCCTTATTAAGTCCTTATCGCAATGAAAAGCTTCGTAAATCATGTCAGTGTTTCCTTGGGCTTTAGGCACACCGCATTACAAATCAACCTCCCATCAGTAGCAGGTGCCATTTCATTCTCAGCCAATAACAGCAACTACATTTTCCGCATGCTTAGAACCTCATTGGAACCGAGAGAGATGTGAGGGTCTGCTCTGAAAGGCTCTCTCGCTGTGCACCTAATAACCCACCTCCAGACAAACAGCAGGGCAGCCCACCACTATAAATACGGCCAAGAAAAACAGTAGCATTCCGCAGTCTGCTGGAGGGCGCGGCTTAATGACTTGTTAAGTATCTGTCGGAATGACCAATTTAGACCACCGCCGAAAACATAAAGCATTTCCCGCGGCCCATCTGATTAGAGAGCTGTAAAGAATTTATCACACGCTAAACAGGGGGGGCTTTATTGACTGTGGAATTCGATAGTGCGGAAGCTTCGTCTTGTTGGGTTTGAGATGGAGTTGGCAGCGGCTGTGTTTACGTGCGAGCCGGGGAGAGAGGTAAAACTGGCTTGATATTAAAGGCTTTTTCATAATGTAACGCAGGGGTGCTCACACTTTTTCAGCATGCGAGCTACTTATAAAAGGATCAAGTCAAAATGATCTACCTACTACAAAAATGCAAATCATATATTTATTTCAAAAAATATTCTTTATACCTACAATGTATGTTTATGTACATGCAAAAGTGCATGAGCCAATATAGCACAACACAACACAATTACCTATGTAAATTTTTTGTCATTACCCGAGTTTACTCTGATGACTTGCACTGAATTGAATCGGCCAGGGAGGCATAGTCCGGAAAATTGGTGGTAACTCGCTGACAAGTTTGTCGTTGTTTAGCTTTCCTGCACTGAGCGCGGTTGTTTGCGCATGTGCAGTCACCTAAGTGTCAGTAAAACATTACTGAGTAAAACATTACTGAGTAAAACACAGATGTCATTTGACTGTGGTGCCATGTCCATGTGCCATGCCTGTTTTTTTTAAATCCAAATATTTCCCCTCCTCAGTTTATAAAATAATTTGCATCCACACATCTGCGTTATCAATCACATTCGTAACATTCCAAACATGTGCGTCTCTCTACGTCCTGTCCTGCGTTGGGGAAAAACACGGAAGTGGGCGGAGCTTTGATGCAGACGCCGGTAACGGCACTTTTACAGTCATAGAAGACACTCAGAGTAAAGACGTATGTTTACAAGCACTGACCCCGTCCTCAGCCCTGGTTTAGTCCTGGTTTAGTCCTGGTTTAGTCCTGGTTTAGTCCTGGTTTAGTCCTGGTTTAGTCCTGGTTTGGTTGTTTTCGAGCGTGAGTCCCCGCGATCACTTTGCTGCTCTCTGATGTGGAGCGCTGCTGCGAGCATCTCACAGCGAACAGTTTTTAAGGTAGTATGATCCATGCTTCAGTGATCAGAGGAATTTAGGGGGGTACTGTGGCGTGCGAGAACGCAAAACTCCGGTTATCTCTGTCTACACACAAATGCATTAACGGAGTTTTCAAAAATCTCCACTTTGCCCGGAGTTTTTTGCATATATTTGTTTAGAATGTGTAATTTTTTATTTATTTAATGCGATCTACCAATACTACCTTTGCGATCGACTGGTAGATCGCGATCGACGTATTGAGCACCCCTGATGTAACGCCAGCAAAAAAATAAATGTAGTTGAGTTAGGATTCAGAACCGTCTCAATTATTAAATAGTAGTTGAGTAGTTTGCAATTGCTTTTTTTAAATCTACTGTACATGTTTTTTGATCAAAATGAGAACAGTTTTTCTTGGGTTGAAATGGAACTGAACCAAAAGAAAAGTCTTGTACATTGATTTAGAGTTTATATTTTCATTCATTATAAAACATTATTATTATTATTATTATTAACGATAATTGCTTTTTTTTGTCCTTTGTGGGATGAATTTTGTGGTCATTTTCATGAGAACATTTTATTTGAAATGAGATACAATATTCTGTGGTCTATTGGCTGAAGTAAATACAACATTGGTCCATCCATTACTAATAATAGATAATGTACAAAAATTATCAATGTATATTTTTAAGTTAAAAGAATGATGAAAAACATGTTTAGTTTTGCTATTGATGATACAACATGAGATAAAATTTGGACGCCACACACAGGTCTCTCTTGCCGCATCTGGTGTTAATGAAGCTGGAGAATGCATGGGTCTAATTGTGTGGATGCAGCTCACGGCTACAGGGATAATGAGGAGGCAGGTTCGTACTGTGGCAAGGCAAACTACACCAACAAAACAAAACTCAATCACAAATATTTGTAAGATTCAGGCTATATCATATGTGCAATGAAAAACAATGTACCATTTCAGAAGAGTATAGTATACTATACATACTATATTATCCATACAGCTTTTAAAAAGGATGTCTCAGCTTTATTCTGCTCAGTAAATAGTTATAGTTTTAATAAATAACATTACAGTGGAAAGCATTTTGTACAATGGTAAAAGCTTATTATTCAGACTAGAGAAATAATTTGTAATGATTTGAGTCATATGTCAAACAGGGACTTTTCTCCTATGTGCCACAAGGAATGATACTGCGTCCAATACTATACATTTTCACAAATAAAATGCCAATTCTTCTGTTTGTATAATGTGATTGTACGAAGAAGCTTTTTTTCAATAACCCCTTCGGGTTACCTGATATAGGTAGAAGTGTCCTGCTGTCTCACAGGTGTACGACACGTCTCCAGGGACATCCAGGCTCTCCTGCAGACGACCCACCTCTCCCAGCAGCTCCAGGCGCCGTGCTAACACATAGTTCACCCTTCCATATCTGCATCAGAACAAAAGATCAGAAAAGTTAGAAAAGTCATTCATATGAGCAGAACTGAATAGCACTCAAACAGATTAGAAAAAACATTAATGTGATTACTGTCCAATAAATGTAGCAAAGTCACAATAAGTCTTCTGTATGTGAAATAATATAATGTATTCATTTGTTTCTAACGTTTAGCTTTTTCATTTGAAATATTACAAAGATAATGTGAATTTAACCATCAAGTGAAGGTAGCGCATGAGAGCTTTATACCAACTTCAAATCACATCTTATCCAAGTCAAAGTTGATAAGAAAAATGTCAATGTTGCAGCACACATGCGGGGCTGTAGTAAGAGCACACAAAACATACAATATAAGTCGCTGCTATGTCTCTTAGATAGATAGATGGAAGCATTTACAGCTATCTAGATAGACAATCGGACAGCAGCATGGATAAAAAGACCTGCGCAACCTCGCCTTCTCACAGCGAGGGTGAATAATTTTTTTTTACTGCAAATGGCAAATAAACTGAATCTGAATAAGTTTGTCACTGAAGCTACTCTCCAGAGAAGACAGAGTGTCCTGCAGGGGGTGACAGTCATGTTCCAGCATAGATGTTAGTTTGTTCCCAGTACCCTCCTGTACGGTGTCCAGGAAACAGCTCCAGCAGATCAAACTGTGCAAAATGGCTGATGCCACCACAGAGTCTTAGAAGGTCTTCAGAAGTGGCCCCTGCACTTCAAAAGACCTGAGCCTCCTCAGCTGGTAGAGTCGGCTCTGGTCCTTCTTGCAGAGGGCGCCTGTATTACAAGTCCAGTCCAGTTTGTGGTTCAGATGAACACTCAGGTACTTGTAAGAGTCCACTCTCTCAATGTTGCTTCCCCGGATGTTCACTGGGGCTGGAGAAGCAGAGTGATGTCCTCTACTCTGCATTGTCGTCCTCAGTGATGAGTCCGAGGATGGCAGAGTTGTCAGAGAACTTGTTGTGTCGGAAGTCTGCAGTGTAGAGGATGACAGTTCTCACAGAACTGGTACTAAATACAGCAAACTTTGTGTCACTTTGTAACATAATGTCATTTTTTTCAAGGTCACTCTGGCCAGCATCTGTGTGACTAGGGCTGGGATAAACAATTATTTTTTTAACGATTAATCTAGCGATTATTTTTTTGATGCATCGATTAATCTAACGATTAATTTTTTCAGTTCAATTCGATTACCAATTATCTTCCCATTAATCGACTAATAGCAATGTATACATTGGGTGTTGTGTTTTAATTTACATATCTGAATGAAAAAACATGAATTCCTTAACAGAATATATTTATTGCTCTTAAAATTCAAAAATAAGACATTCTTAGTCAAAGGTAGCATAAAACCTTGAAGCCTTGAAAGTGCATCTAGCTTACTGAAAAAAGTGCATCTTATTATTCTTCTTTCAAATTAAAATAACACTTGATGTTTGCCATTCAATAGAAATAAAAATAAAAAGTTCACCCAAAATACTTGTTTAGAGAAAATGAATGAATACAGTGACCAATGTAAACTTGAGGGCTTTAAATTAAAGAGAGAGTGCTTTTCTAGCAAAAAATAATGAAAATAAACATTTAGAATTCAACAGTTATGTTGAACATAGGCCTGGCTTAATGAAAAAATCATCTTCATTCACAAATAACTTAGACTTGGACACTTTCCTTTCCCCTGAAGAATACTGTTTGTCTCTTTGTGTGTGCTTGTGAACCTCCAGCCCGTGTTGTCATTCTCCATTGACTAAACTAGCACAGCTAGCATGTTTGCCGATGCAAAAGTACAGTCTAATAGTAAAATAAACTGATGGCGCACCTCCGTGAACACATACTGCTATTATATAAAGTCTCTGGACACAGAGCCGCTGCAGAGCTGCAGCATCGGAGAAGAACTTTACACAAAAAGCCGCTAGCTAAACGCCGCTAGTCCAGGACTTCTGGTCTGAACACCCCAAGCCTCTGTAATATAGAGAATGCGCGGTCTGAACGCCCCATTAGACGGCACTCGCGTACTACTGCTACTACTCGCTGGCATCTTTGTTTTGAGTATGACGAATCAACGCGCATATTTTGTATCAGCGTATTTTTTGCCTCGACGTCATCGATTACGTCGGTGCGTTGTCCCAGCCCTATGTGAGAGCCATGTCTGTAAGCTGTACATGGGGATTGTGATATACATCACCACTGTGAGAAGTGGAGAAGACACCAGGTCCTGCTGTCCGTTTCTGCGTCACGTCTATTAATGAAACTGCTTGAGAGACATAAAAATAGCAAAAGGCAAACATGCAAAGTTAAACAGAATGTCTATATCAGACACTAAAATCCATAGTCTTCTTTCCAATATCTTGTTTTTAGCTGGGTTCCAGCACAGAAAACGTGATGGTGTGTATTTGCCCTGAGCAGAGTCTTTGAAGTACCTAATAATACTTCCAGCCATGCCCTCTCCAGGTTAGAGACGCTGTGAATGTTTACCCATTAAATCTCTGAAATGCATGGTCAGCGTTTTAGGCATGAGTATCTAACCTTATTTGTTCATAATTAGTAAATTTAGTTTGTCCCAGTTGTAACATTTTGTGAACAAATCAGACCACAACATGTCTTCCTCTCATTAGAAAACGGCATATTTATCCTACTTAAGTACAACTAGCCCTGTGAGTCACTATTTGAATCTGTTGGGCTAAGTGCAGTTTGACTGAGAGAGGGTGGTCCTCTCTTTTTTACTTTTCTTTCCGAACAAGCTTCTCGACAGATGTCACAGATGCCAAAAAATGCATGCATGTGAAACCAGTGACAGAACCAAACTGTTTTGAGAGCGAGGAACTAATAATACCACTTTTCCACAGTAATGGTACGGTACAGCACAGCGCGGCTATTTTGCATTTACACTAGGGTTGGGGACGGGGTTTGGGTACTTTTTTCGTACCAGCTCGACTGTGGTTCCAACCGCGCCAAACCTACACCATGACGTGACGTCGGCCGACTGCCTTTTACACTGATTGGTCAACTAGTGCCGTCACTGGAAGCGACGTCTGTCGCTTCCAGGACGAAAGTCAACGTCCTGGTCGTTCGACGAGGTCCACAAGCTACTCTCTTTAGGCCGAAAGAAAGAATTCCAAGGCAGCTCGAACACAAAACACTAAGGTTTCACGAAGTTTTCATGGAGATCGCTCGATTTGTGACTAGTCTGTGGTAATCCTGGAAATAACTGTTTAGCTACGTATTAAAGTTCTCAATGAAATGTATTTACTCGTGTAAATGTTTGATTGTTTTACACGAGTGGGGTAGCTAAATTTTGGTTTTGAACTTTACTTTTGTTTTTAATAAATCTGTGATTGTATCAAGACTTTGTTTAATTAATTTGCTACCACATACTCTTACTTCTATATTCATTACATTAAAAACTTGATGTTCGTCTGTCACTCGCCCAGTGTCCTGAAAAGGTTTTAGGAGCCAGTTCTGCAGGGGGTAAGCAGAGTCCCCTAGGAGATAATAGCAGCTATCACCGATATTATAATAAATCCATACACCGCACCAATGTTACTGGTTACACATTGCGCGTAAATGTAATATCATTATTAGGAAAGCACCCGAACTCGGCCGTGCCGTACCATGCCGCACCAGATCGTTTACTCTGGAAAAGCGGCATAACACCCCAGCTTTAATACATGTGAACTAAAAATGACAAAAATCTCTCAAATAAATGTGATTTTTGCACAATTAAAAACAGACAAACCCTGAAACTGCTCCCTTTCTCTCAACTGTACATCGTAAGAGACTAGAGACATTCTTCACAGCTGTTAATATCCACAAATGAACTGCGCTGTAGTATTGATGTGGCACTTGTTCTACCTTTGTTCTCTTAAATAAATCAATTTCTCCTTCAGTCTGATTTACACTTCCCTCTGAACATCCATAACGAGCAGCTGGATGAGGCTTCATCACTGGCCTGGGCGTATCCCAGGCCAGTGCTGCTCCGGAGGTCAACCTTATTTTTAGAGCTCTGTCCCTGGACACATGCTTTTAAAACCTCAAATAGATTCAGACGTTTTTTTTAGTTGATGGGGTCATAATTCTGTTCATAATTTCCACCCTGACCTGAAATTCTTTTTGCACTTCTCTTTGAAGGCCACTCCATGCTGATGCCGCCTACACTGAAAAACCCTTTCAAAGTAAAAAAATAAATAATGAATAAAAAAAGAGAAGAAGGAATATAGACTGCTATGAACATGTGCCAACTGTTCAAAAGGGCAGGGAATATATTTGTGGCTTTGTGCTGCCTGTTGAAATGGGTCTTGTTGAAAATTACAATAGCATATTTATTTTGCATACAAAAAATATAACTTATCATTAAGGGATTAAGGTAAGTTAAAAGTAGCAATATGTAAGATTTTCATGTCAAGTCATCATTAAATGGCCCTAATATGTCAAAGAATTATTTGAAAAGAGCTTGATGTATTAATACCTTTTAACTGAGAAAAGTAGTTCAGCCGGGATATTCTAATTTCAAAATTAGTTTCACAGCCCCTAAATCTTGTTTTTGTTTTCATTTCAATTTTCCCACCCTCCACCGTTTTACGAATCAGATGAGTGATCCGGGTTGTCAGAACTCACTGTGTCGAGCTGATCTCACTGGTAAAGTAACATGTAGCCTAAGTGCTAAAAATGTCTCGATTCTGAATTCATTAATGACAAAACAAGGAATAAAACCTTGACTTGACTTGACCCGTTGTGACACACGTCTCTCCCTGCACTTTTGTATTCTCTGCTTGTGTTATGGATCGTTCAGACCGCTGACGTTGCAGTAAGCAGTAACCGGTAACAAAGACACGCCAAGATTCAGGTTAGCCTACGCCACTTATTTACCTCAGCTGTCTGTGCCGACGAGAGACCTGTAGCTTTTCTTAAGAAAGTGGGGGCCAGTGGTCCGCCATTTTGGGTCACAATCTGGTCCCGAAACAAATTATCTTCCTTGTTGCACAAAAACTCGATCCAAA